CATCACTCAAAAAACACCTCGACGCCCTACGCGACCTCACGAAACACGAGTGCACCACAATTACCCAACTCAGGGCTAATCATGTGTATCTCAACTCATACCTCTTCAAACATAAACAACAATTTGACCCCCTCTGCGATTGTGGAGAGGGAGTTGAAACCATTGACCACTTTTTATTCATATGCCAGAGATTCAAACGCCATAGAAGGAACCTCACCAATGCCATACTTGAACTTCAACTTCAGGAATCAACAGACATCCTCAGACATCCCAAGGCCTTCAAGAGCATTGCCGTGTTCTGTAACAGCACCTGGAGGTTTAAAAATCGCTGGGTCTGGGGCAATATCATGAACAAAGACCCCCCGAGAGGGGCACAAGAACCTCTTTTGTAATCATCCCTCCTTTAGCGCCACTAGTAGTCCATACCATGTAGTTAAAACGTTGAAACAGCCAGCCCGTTTCCTTTTCCCCACAGAGGTTTTCACTGGAGCGGAGCAAAATAAAGTAGCCGTAGTGCCTGATAGCCTTTAGCTCAGGGGGAACTTTAAACAATGAAATAAAAAAAAATAAAAAAATAAAAATGACAGGAAAAAATTCATTATAAATCAAAAAGCTCAATTGGTAATAATAAGGAGCGCCTTCTCAGTGTTGCAGCTGCCTTGGACATTGGCAACTGACAAACTCTACATAAACATGTTGCCCTCGACTCACAATACTCTTGACTGCCCCGTGAGACCAACTCAACCCAACCATATTTATCAAAACTTGATTGCAACTGGACATTAACTGTTCATATTAGGGTACTCTGCAAACTATACACCTGTTTCTTCATAACAGCTGGAGGCAACAGACACAATAGGAATGTTGAATTGTTTTTCTTGCTCAATGAATAATAAAGGCATGACCAAATGCTAAAGTGTTCCTTCTTCCGCTGGATACAACAGGTTCCAGTTTTGCACTTACCCAATTCCACACTTGAAGCAAGTGAATTCACTTCAAGCAAATCATTGTTCTGGAAGTTCATTTAGGGGGTATCTTACACCACGGGGTAAGTGTGACGTGGCACAAACTGGGTGAGACTTGTTTTTGAAACGGTCTCGTTTTTCATTCAAAAGAAACGGCCCCAGAGAGGTTCCCAGATGGGACCAATTCAAACTCGCTCCTGTCACAGAGAAGTTGCCGAGGCTGGCATTGGAATATGACCGGCCTTCGCACCGCCCCAAGGACGTGCTGACACGTCCCTGGAACGGTGTGTTGGAAAATGTACTTGATACGGTTCCATAGTGGGACGTTCCGTTCCCGGTGGCCTCGCGGTCACCAGACCCAAGAATACCAAGGATGAGAGGGGCGACAGCAACACTGTCTTCGATTTGGGGCCTCATGACTTCTGCGTTTTCAAGATTTATCAATATAGTTTCATATTGATTGAAGCATCTTGAGCAATTGGTTTTCATGTATTAGCAAGGCAGGCGTCTTGGCTTCTCATGATTCCAAAAGTATTTCAAAGTTGGAATCAAACAAAAAATAAGTTGCTTTATGAAAGGAAAATGAATTGTTTAAAAAAAGGCAGGTGAAAGAAAAGTCGCATGTATTGAAATGAACTAGACAAGTATGAGGCTTTCATAGTGTGAGTCTTCAATAAAAAGGGTAACAAGGGTAATGAAATGTAACAAGGATTATTATATTCCTGGATATAATATTGGAAAAAAAAAAGATGAAACCTGATGGCAATCTCAATTGCTATTGAAAGCTGCTCACTATTGATGTAATCCTTCGATCATACAAGGCTTGGTTCACCTTCAAGGACCCACTGTTCCAACTCGGCTGGGGTAATGATACTTAAGCTGTGTGATTGTTTGATTACTTCAAAGCTTTGTTTGCCTGTGAAAACTTTGCTGTCATATTGCATTATCCATTGGTAAAAACTGTGTAACAAATGATGTGCGTGAGTGCAGAAAGTACTGTAGAAAGCAAGATATGTATGTACTGACAATTTTTGAGAAGATGGGGAAAGAGTCGCAACCCAAGCCAGTCGCTTGTCAACACAATCCCACATTGATTGGTCACAATTGCCTTTTGTGTTTCCGCTTCTTGGACGGGTGGTCTCCTTTGATTCTGATTGGAAGATAGCACCTTCGAGACGCTACAGTACATATGTAGTGATTGGTGTGGTGATCAGCTGCGTCGAGAAGGTAGAGAAAAGCTCACCAGAAGAGCCATTCGACTTTTATCACTGATTGAGGCGCTATGCCACAATTGCGCGTTGCTTTTCTTCAGGCCCACATCAGTTTGCTTGCAAAACACTTGAACTAACAGTTCGTTCAACTGGGGAACTAAGGAGCCAACTGGGGGGTCTTTGATATTATCAAGGATCTGAGTAACATCATTTGTCCCTGTAAGCCTATTGTTTCTTGAGCTTACCTTTGAAATTACTCACTAGATTTTGGTATTTGTTTTTCTCAGACTTGGCAATTTCCTTGATAAGTCGTCTGACTTGATTGTCTGCTGCCGTATCTTCACGTCGAAAGTCTTCAGGTAAGTTGGCATCCTCAATCTTACTGTCTTCCTCACTAAGAAGCAAATGCTACGTGTCCATATCATTAGCTGATTTTTTTTGGTTGATGTAGAAACTAAAATGAAGTAAAAATCTCACTATGAGCATATTCTCAAGTGAATCCACAATCGGCTCGTTTTTGGTGTTGTAGGCATTTGAGTAAGCTTATACTGAGCTTCCAATCAGAATTTCTTTGATCAAGTTCCTGATCAAACTCTGTTTGTTTAAATTGGGTCAGTTTTATCCCAGATGCTACTTTTTTGAAGTATTGACTTACTTGAACATTTTCATTTGCTTTCCAACTGACTTTCTCACTAGAGAGTCTGATGCAAATATTATCAGTGGCGGTGATGACGGTTTCACTGATTTCTTTGTTAAGTTCAAGAAACTGTGATCTCAAAAAGCATATCATTGCGATCTGACGTGCTTGATTGTTTGGTTGCTGCTACAAACAGTCAGTAAAACTACTGGGTGAGATTCAAAAAATGATGAACTTACCTTATACACTTTCTCAACTTCTGAGTATTCACTTTGGGAGAGGCCAAATTGTTGTCGTATGTTGTCAATCATGTTGGACAATGCACATGGGTCACTCACTTCCTCTTGAGAATTGAAACTTGACTGTCCAGCATGCAGGCCAGATTGCATTGTGGAAGGAGTGCCCAGATTATGATCTAGACCAGATTGATAATCTGGCTCTTCACCCAACACACTGTGACCGAACGTTTGTGATATGCGGGGGCAAACATTGGGGGTGTTTTGGTGTCTACTGTCCATCCCAAACGCAGAATAAGCTGAGCGGACACCGGTTACGTTGGATGATGACAATCGGTCATAGTTTGATGGAGGATATGATAAAATTGAGCTGAAGGAAGCATGATGAAAGTTGTATGGAAAGGTGGAACTTGAAGAAAAAAGGGAAGTGCGGACCGAACAGGACAGAACTCACCGGGTGTCTTTCCTTTCTGGTTGGTTCCATGTCAAAACGGAAAGAGTGCAAAGAGCAGATTCAAAAGGATTTGAACAGGCAGGTTTATTGGTATTTTGATTCCGCTCTTTGAACTCTTTCCACGTGGAACCAGTGCAAAAAGAACTTATAAATTTTTAACTTTGTCTTTTGATTTTTTAAGATGTCCCCTTCAAACACTTGTCTCACATCTCCAAGTCAAAGATGCAAGAGCTGCATCAACTATCACCAAGACGACATGCCTATGAAACTCGATTTCAACTTGTACTCGCCAAAGAAAAAGAAGGGGCCTCAAGGTTCTGAAATGACTTATAACTGGCACTTTAATCTTCCTCAATCTGAACATTCTATTGATATCAGCAACACATCGCTGGATGATATCAAGCTTCATCTAAAGCTCGTGCTTACTACCGATTCTTAGTCTGAATCCATATCAAAGGCAAAGAGTGATGACTTACATATCTCTCAAACTCATTCGCCACCACATTCATCAATAAGCTTTCCATTTTTAACCTATAACATCTTATTCCATTCAATGGATCGATCAAAAATTGAAGTTACAAATTCACACAGAAACTACAATGATTCTACTACAATCTCGATTTCTTCGTTTTGGTCTTAAATTTCTTTATTTCAGTCTTAGTTGGTCATTGATCTTAAATCCAATGATTCAATCTGCTCAAAGGGTTTTTGATCAATTGATATCTTTCAAAACTAAACACTTCAGATTCAAAACTTGATAGTGGTTGATGTTGTCCAACATTAGTTGTATTGCAATTTCTTTCTTTCCGTCTTAACTTTTCCAAAGCACAACTTTTGGCTTGATTGATATCTTTCAAAGTAAAAAACTTCAGATTCATAACTTGAGAGTGGTTGATGTCGTCCAACATTAGGGCCCGCCAAAAACTGTTACACAAAAACATGTTTGATCTGCCCCTTATTCAAGGAGGGGCAGATTGAAAAAGCGTTTATTCGGTGATACAATTGACTGAACAGTCATCAAAAACAGTCATCAAAAAACTATGAAGACCTCTTCTGGAATGTTCCGCTGTTTGGTAAATTGTACATAGATCGCATAAGAATTGATTTTGAAATTTCAATCTTGATGTTTTAAACATCATCCATTGCCATCATCAACTACATGATCAAGTCTCCTTTTTTTGCACAATGCACAAATCATAAGACTGTTGAATGAAAGTAGATACAATATGTATGTCTATGAATTATCTACTTCATGAAAAAGCTTGCCTTATAGAGGAAAGGAGTTGCTGTTGCTTCTGTCTCATGAACTTTTTATGTAGGTAATTGAGTGAACATCTTTTATGAGAAAAAAACCTAAGAATACCAAACAAATTGATTTCACATCTTTGAGATCTGCAGAGGCAGTCTGAGTGTTCTGCAGCCTCAAGGTAGAATGACAGAATGAATTCAAAAAAATCACAATTTCTCTTTTTTGGAGGCTAAAGCAGTATAAGCACCCTAGCTTTTTTTCCCTTCTTCTTTCCAACGTCTTATCCCACAATGTATTGCTTGAGACCAAGCTTCCGGAGTGACTTGTTCTGGTTCAATATGAGCCCATTCATAGTGTGCCTGACTGTTGTACAGGGTGCCACTGTTTACAATAAAAAGATATGAGTTCTTGTGAACAAGTGTTTGCAAAGGTGCTGCTGGTTCACAGATTTGATGTTCTGTGATGTCCTGTGCTCTTCCTGTCTGACACTGGGAGTCATAACAATTATGCTGAACATTGATTGAACACCTCACTTCCTGCAGGCGCAAACACATCAGGTCTCATTACAAAACAAATATTTGAAAGCTGACTCACATCAAGGTATAGAGAGACCACATAATTGGGATCAATCTTGAGCGATTGCATGCCATAGAAAGAATGGTAGCCATTTGACATTGAACCCCATTCAAGTGAAATGATTGGAGAAGTGTGATCCTCTGTGGAATACTTTGGTGACCATATTGTGCGTATCTGCCCAGTCCATTTTGGAGGGTTCATGTATGGAGTCATTAGCTAATTGTCAAAATAATGTCAATACACTGGATATGATACATGTAGCAAGGAAATTTTGTCACATACGCTCACAAAGTCCCCATTTTCCACTTGTTGTCCTTTTTTTAGAAGAGTAGAGGGGACAACCTCCAAAATATCCCCATGCAAAGAAAGGAAATTCTGAGCGGTTGTAAATTTCTGGTGTGTTTTAAACCCTGGCTCATAGTATGTCAAGTTTGAATTCATAATTTCTTCCCACTGGCAAAGCTTGAACCCAAATGTATTATCAATCACCTTTCCATCCTGCTGGAGAGCCTCCAATTTGGATCCGCCTTTGGTCCACTTTCCATGGGTTTCATTCCAAACCAGGCCTCCACCAAAATCATGCCGTGAGACTTCCACATTTAGGAAATTCTCAGCCAGGTGTGAACCATGGTCATGCGGCTGGAATGAATAGATGCAGTTGGGGTAAGTATGTTTTCACTTTCAAAAGAGTCTGTGTTGTACAGTAATGGAGGTCTATGACGCCTGATTGCAGCAGTCAGATGAGTTAGCATGTGTAGTTTAGGTTTGTTCACCCATCTTGCGTTCAATTTGATCATACCACACAGAAAAAGGTTGATGGGTTGGTCCAATTGATGACAATGCTTGTCCATGTTTTTGATTTCCAGTTGATATATCTTTGACGTCATATGACCAAGATGAGTCCATACAGCCCTCTCATCTGCGTTGAGCCATTCAAAAAGTACAAAAGGGGCACCCTGGACCACAATACAAAATTCTTTACCAGTCAGAGAAAGTGCGCAATGAACAAGCCTTGAGGGTTGCAACTACTGGATTTTTAGTCCGGATATGTTGAATGCTTTCCATTTAGCCACCACTCTAGCTAAATGTGTCTTTGGTATCTTTTGAAGAGCATCCCTGTACAAATATTTGACTACTCCTAATAAGATCACATGTAGCACCTCAACGGGTGTATCTAAGTGCCCATCAAAACCTGGCAAATGTTCAAGCTTAGCCAAGAGTTCTATCCAAATGAAACACAAAATGATGTGACATAACTACATACCATCCAGTTTGAAATATGGATTCCACATCCTGTCACCAAGCCTACTCTGACACTGCATAGCAAAAGTTTTTGCCTTAGCTGGACCTTCCTCACGATAAAGTTTTCTGTATTTATCAATGAACGGCTGTAACATTGTGTCTTTTAAACCATAAGACTTTTGCAAAGCATCCACTTTGGAAATCATATTTGGTTTCAGTGAGTCATTCCAGACCTGCTCGGACACCCTTTTTGTTTCACTCCAATCTCGGGACTGACCACTAATCTAAGAATACAAGAGAAGTCAGTCAACAACTATAACTATTTCCAGGTAGAAAAATAATATACCATTTTGCCATCTGAGTTGATTCCAAAAGCACGTATGTACTCTTTGCTCTGCCTCAAATCCTTTGAATCCACCCCCAGATGACATTGTCTACAAGGGTGCAGACTAGTGCCTGGTATATTAGTATTGGTGATTTCAGCATGCATTGGGGAGTCACCCAGGTGCACCAGCTGAACAGCAATCACTAATACATCTTGTTTGATACTGGAATTGTATGCAGAGACACCCTCTCTTGACAAGAAGCTATCCCATATCAAAGAGTTATATATTAGTTACAGTCTTTGCAGTAAGTTTTGTGTACTCACTTTAACTGGTCTACGATATTGTCTCCCAACTCCAGAGCATGTGCAGTGATAGAAGCGACAAGCGAGTGTATGTTGTACTCCAAGTTGGCTAGCTTTGAAGGTAGGCCCGAGTAAGTAAAGTAGTAGCACATGTGCTTGTTAAACCTCTTGGAAGTTGAACCAGAAGTGTCATCACTATACATTGTTAATGGGATATCCCTAACAATTTTGCCCTGTGCTCTAGCTCTCCACGGGTTGGGTAATGGGATTGGAACCACAGTTCCATTGCCCATGCATTCTATCAACAATAGTCCATTTGTTCAATGTGTAGAAAAAATTTAAATCTCCAAATCTCAAAGATACTCACGAAAAAGAGTATGACCATACAATACTTTTGAAGGATCTCCATTTGGCAGAATTATGTTTTCAAAGGTCTTCCTAAATTCCAGAATGTTAAACACTGCAACTTCATTGTAATCAACTCTTCCCTCCTTCATTATCTCCATACATGAATCTCTTGGGTGCTCATAATCCACTAGTTTCAGTTGCAAACATTCTGCTACCAAATCATCACCCAAATAATAAAAATGAGTGGGTACCACTACCTGTCCTGAGCTTAGCTGGACTGGCTCATAAAGGCAAAAATTGCCAAAAGAGCTGTACACCATTGGGGCCCGCAGATGAGCTGCCAAACCATTCAGCCATTTGTCACTATGGCAAAATTATTTGACCAGGCCATCCTTTGATACCACAGGGTAAAAATCCAAAGCACACGCAACATGTGGTTTTGCTAAATCCTGCATTTGGAGACATCAACAAAATCATCAATCGGAGCAGAACCTATTATGTTATATTAATTGACAGCAACATACCAATTTTAAATGTACCTTCAGGGGCAAAGAATAGCAAGGATTGTTCAGAGGACTGATTTTTGATACCACTTTCAACCCCATTTTATCTTTGACTCTGCGCAATAGCCCCTTCATTGTTTTGTAAGATGGTAGTTTGAGGCCAGCTAGACTCACTGCGCTGCGTACTGTCTCATGTTGTGTTTGAGAAAGCAAGTTGTGTGCTTTACCATAACACATCACAGAAATGATGTTCTGAAGAAGAGGATAATTCAAAGTATCAAAAATCATGACCTTTGCTTCAGGGGTCATTCTGTACTTGGTACATACCTCCAATGTTTCAAATGGGTACAAATCATCATTTATTTGAAACCCTTTTTTGCTGGTGCCTTGTTTAAAAGATGAGGTGTATTTGGTACTTGGTCCGTAATACACCACATCCTCCCAGTTCTCTTCATCATCTCCAAGTTCATCATTAATGACTTGCTCCATCATATTTTCAAAGTTTTCAGCTTCTGATGAGGGTCCATCAGACACTGATGAACCAGTCTGATTGAGACTATTTTCCAGTGATATATTTGAATTGTCCATTCCTGCTGGCGTTGTATTGTAGGGTGAGACAGGTGAAATACGTGTAGAGCTTTGCCTTGGCATGTTGTAGAGTGATGTGGGTGAATTTAAGGTGGACCTTTGACGTGGAATAAATGAGGGTGGTGATTGCGTTCCAACTGAAGAAGGCCTGGACTTATCTAAATGAGCAATGTCAATATGACTCATACTGTAGAGTGACCTGGGGGAAATTGATGTTGATCTTTTCCTTGAAATAAATGAGGGCCCAGGTGATTGCATTTTGACAGATGAAGATCTGGAATGATGTTGACCTGAGGCTGAAGAATTTCCAGAACCTGAGGAAGCTCTCTGCCTTGTAATGGATAACTTCCCAGGTGATTCCATTTCCACCAAGGTAGATCTTGAATGATATTGAAGACCAGCTGGAGAATCCACAGAACCCAAAGTATCTCCCTGCCTTGGAATAGATAAAGATCTTTCTCTGTTCATAGTTGAGGGGCCTGGAATACCAGGTGACTCCATTTCAGCTGAGGAAGATCTGGAATGATATTGGACAACGGCTGGATGATGCCCGGAAACAAAGGGATCTCTCTGCCTTGAGATAGATAAGGATCTCTCTCTGATTAAAGATGAAGGCCCTGGAAGTTGTTGTGGTGGTGTCTCTATTCTTTGAGGAGTTGAGGGGACCAATGATTGCCTTGTGGTATGACTACTGGCTGCTCTTTTTTCCAATAGAGCCTTGCAGGTGGCCATTTTTTTCATGTGGGTAACTAACGTCAAGAGTTTTGCATATTCTGCAATTGTTCTGTTACGAAAAAGAGCACAGCTATACCGGGGAACATTATTTGCTCCCCTATATGAGCTGATGACTAAGATTTGGTGTCAGAAAGCTGCGCATCTTTGAGATGCAAAATTACAGAATGAACTCACACTCAGGAAGCTCCTCCACCATGTCTCGTGAATGTTTTGTTTTGCTCTGATGAAGAAATAACAAAAAATATTATGTTAAGACAAATTTGTCTGGATTAAAATGAAGACTTCAAGATGATTTTGCGATAATTGGGAGATCTTTTAAATTCTCAACAGTGGAAACTCGAGATAACAGTTTAGAATTGGGGTTCTGGGATTGTTGTAAGTATTATGCTTCACAAGATTTAATCTTGGGATAAATGGATATTTTGTGATAATATTCCAGTAGAAAACTTGGAAGTAACTGCTCAGTGGGTACTCGACAATTCTTCTTTTGATAGAGGCTTTTTACCTTTTTATACTCAAATGACCACAGTGTAGAATTTTTAATCACATTGATTGCGGTGTAAAACATGTTAGTAAGCATCGATTACACCGCAATCGAACCGATGCAACATGTTGTTATGGATCGATCACACCACAATCAAAGCCATGCAACATGTTTTACACCGCCGCAATCGATGCACTATTGGAGACCGCCTTTGCACGGTGATGATGAGTCACCGGATGCGATCGGAAAGAAGTGACGCCATCCATCCGGTGTCAGAAACGCAGTTCAAGCCGTCTCTGACATCCGAAATGTCCCTGGGACCAGGGGAAGGCTGGTTTGGACACGGTTAAAGTGGGAACCGTGTGGCACGGTGACTTTTCCCGTTTGAACTCGGCTCCAGTCACTGTTTACACAGATCACGGGACTGGAACCGTTCAGATCACGATTCTTGCTTGGTCTCATCTGGAAACCTCTCCATGACCGACCGAGGCCGAGGAGATTTACCCTGTGGTGTAGTTGATGGATATACTCACTACTTATCAAATGATAAATCTTAATCTTTGTTCTTGGGATTATGCCTGGGGGTTCAAGAGCTTTTGGGGGTTGTTGATGTTGTATCTTCTTGGGTCAAATCTAAACAGGTTTTGCAAAGGAAGCTTTTGAATTGAATGTTGTTTTTAGATGCCCTTTTTGGCTATATTATTTATACAATGTATGGTGCCTTTGGAAATTTTACAAATCAATCAATGAAGAATGCATTGGGATGAGTATCTCATTCAGCAAATGAAAGAATTATTAATCTCAATCTCAATGGAAAGATTGACCCTAATCCAGTCCAAAAGTCCAAGTTGAACAGGATTTCAGGATCAATAGTTGGACCTAAAGATCAGATCTGCTGTGACTACTAATCAATGAGGATTGGAAGGCCTTTGCCACTTTTATCCAGCTAACATAGGCAACATCACATCTAATTAGCACACCAGGCCAAATGGGTACTGCATCCAATGATTCATCTACATATGTTGATGCAGTCTCAAGCATTGAGTCAGTTCATCCTGATAAGTGGGATGCAGAATTGGGTGTCATCAAGTTCATGATTTGATGACCTCCTCAATAATCAAATTCAATACACCAGAGACACACTCTGTTATCAGCCTTTTTAATGCAATGTTTCATAGATTGATCTATGGCTCAAAATGGGTTGTGCAAATCACTGGCACCAGTTCTCTTTAGGTCCTTATGACCAGTGTTCCACCAAGTTTGATTTTCTCTTAGATTTGATCTATTTGTAACATTGAGCAAGTTATATATTTACATCATTCATTGTGTCATTCAATCTGTCTATCACACCTCTTCTTTCTTGTCCTGTATGGATACAGATGAACAACATACATCTTTGAAAAACCAAATTGAGAACCTATTTAATGGTTTTAAATTTGAATTAGTCGTATTGATTAATGAAGATTCTGAAGATTTTACTGGTTTAGGAATGGTTTTGAGAGCACCGATCAAAAGAACTATGATTCAAATTGAAACATCAATTGAATGTTGTAAAGAACACTCGAAGTTGTGCTTTGAAGTTTGAAGTTTGAGTTTCAAAGTGTGAGTTTTGAAGTTGAAGTTGAAGTGAGGTTTTGAATAATGCAGTTGTTGACTGATTGGATGCGTCAAATCCTATGATAAATCAAGTTTTAAGCTTTGGTAGATTTGAGCAAGTGTGATGCAAGATTTGATTTATTGCAGGGGCGGCAAGTGTAAAACAGGCCCATAGTGGACCTGTGTGCAATTTAGCAGTAAAGTTACAATAAATCACCTCTTTACCGCAACCATAGTGGGTGCTCTTAGGGAGTTGTGAAATCCATAACGAAGAGTCTTATTTTATTCTTACTCATCTTTGAAGAGTAGTGTATCAAATTGGCCAAAGAGGTGAGTAATGGTTTTCAAGCATTTTTAAAAATCTCGTTTACTCTTCTCTAACGATTTTCAAGATTTATTTGTCCCACTTATTGGATTCTTCTTTACCAATTTTGTTTCATCCATAGTGTTATCAACAAATTCTCTTGGTGTTCTCTGTTTGTGATCACAAATTTTAGTTTTAATCTACTAAATCAAAATTTATCTCTTTTTTAAATATGATCAGTATTGTCGTTGATCACATTGATCATTTTAAAAGAATTGATGAGATTCTTATTGAGTACAGGAGGATTGGTGGGTGCAATCCCTGACGCGCAGCGCACTACCCTGCGCGAAAAATGCACTGGGAGGCGCCTCACTGCAGCGGGATTGTCTCCAAACCCCACTGCGCCATTTAGCACCACCGGGGCTTGGTGGTTTGTCACCCAGTGCGCACTTTCACACCGCAGCACAGCGCAATGTGCGCAAACTGCGCAAACTGTGTGGCCCTGCGCAGCTCCAAGCAGATACAGGCAGATACCCTGCCTCCACTTCAGCCAAAGCAGGGATGTCACTTCCCCTTGCATCCATATATGGCCGAGCCAATATGTCACCACCACTGGCACCACGATTGCCTGCTGTCAATCTAGGATTTCAACTCGAACAATCCTCAATCATCATCATGGACTTACGGATAGTCATTTACAATCTTCAGCAACCGCTCAATCGGTTGAACGACGGCGCCAATGCCTTGAATTCTCTAAAACCAATCCATCAGTCAAACAGGACCGCTCAAAACTGTTATACTTCCTTATTACACCACCTGAGCGTATCTCAGTCTTATCACAATTGTTACTTTTACTTATCTTTCAAATCATCAAAAGCTCACAACAGTTGTTTCAATTTCTGCTTTTACTTATCATTCAACTTATCTCAATTGCACAAATCATCTCATTTCTATTCATACAAAATGAAACAAAACACAAACAAAATAAGCTCTTCCGTCAAATCCAAGTCAAAAGGTTCATCCAAAGGTCCTTCTCAATCCACATCATCTTCCAAGTCATCTTCCAATTTCCGTAACACTGCCATTAAGGCTAAGTCAAAAGTCACACCCATTGAATGTGAACCCGAAGATGAGCAAGATCCCAATTGTGTCACCAAAGATGAAGATGAGGAGGACGATCCTCAGGTAGACAAACCTGAAGATAACTCTTCCGAAAGCACTGTCAATCCCGCAAATGGCAAGCGCACTCGAAAAGTCCCAGGCAAATCTTTGGTTCAAAAGAAACCCGCTGTAGTTAAGCATAATACACGAGTAAATCATTTCTTTAACCTGCTTTGTTTCGATTCCCTTCTAATTTGTTTCTTCCTGTCTCTTAGCCAAAGTCAAAGTCAAAGAACTTCAAATTGCCCGACAATGTCAACCCTGATCAAGACTCAGATATTGAAGAGATACCGCCTCCTACTGCAAAGCCCAAGATTGTCTACAACCAGCCGAAGTCATACTTCTCTCCTGTGCATTATGGGAAAGATGAAGATGGGAATCTAAGAGATCCGGTAAAGTGGTTTCCTTATTTTTATTCAATCCACTTTTTTATCAGATTTCATTATAATGATGTTTGATAAATATCGGAATTTTAGATACCTGGCGAAAAGCCATGGTATCACACTTGCTTATGGTGTGACAGGGAATATAAGATCAATGCCAGAAGCAAATTTAACTTGAAGGGACACCGTGATGGTGACCTTGGTCGGAAACCTTGCGAAGGGCGTTACGAAGCAATCACAGCTGGTGCAAATCTTCCTCCAACTTATCAGGAAGAAGCAGCTCAAAGAGCGGCTGCAGAAGATGCTAAGAAGTATTGTCACGAGAAGACAACCCTCCACAACTTCTTGAATTTACCAAAATTCTCTGTTTCTTTATTAAATATGATACTCGTTCTTTGGCTTCTTCGTAACTGTATCCCTTGGCTCCCTATGGAAGACCCCTGCCTTCAAGCTGCATTCATTTTATGCAATCCAAACGCTACTCTTTGGTCAGCATTGTGGTCGGCTCGGCGTGCAATGGAGTACTTTCAGGATTTTCATGGGAACTTGGTTAAAACTCTCCAGGTTGGTCTCTTCTATTTGTTTCTTGTATATTCTTTCCCTTCTACAACTCATTCCTGAATCACATATTCATAGGCTCTTGACTCAAAAGTGTGTGTCATACACAATGTATGGACCACGAAAGGAGGTAAACGTGCCTTTATCGGGGTTGCTGTATCTTATATAGACAACAATTGGGAGTTTCATGTCACCCACTTGACATTGAAACTTACTGCATGGAATCACTACAGTGCTTTGTTAGCTCGACCGGTAGGGAACTTTCTGATTCGCCATGGAATTCAAAAAAAGATAAGTTTTGATCTTTTTTTCCTTGTTTCATATGTTATCTATGCTAATTACTTTGTTTAATGTTCTTACTGGTAGCACAGACAACAGACTCAGGTTCCAGCAACCCTATCTTAGCACGTCAACTTCAGATCATGTTCATGGATTGTGACAACCCGGTCTTTTGGAACTCATCTTGCAACCAAATCCGGTGTTACTGTCACAAGTTGGCTTTGACAGTAAAATCCGGACTTTCATCGATTGGACTAGGTGATCACGGTCAAATCAAGCCCACTGTTCCTTCTGGAAAGCGGCTCCGACTACTCCTTCCAGATGATCATCTTCCACCACCCAAGATCGTGATGGCAGATGGAAGAGTTGTTGATGAAGATGGGCAAGAACTCGATGGTGTCAGTGAGACAGACAATGAGCTGGATTCTCAGGAAGGTGAAGTGGGTAAGGATGTTGAGGCTAGCGACGACTCGGAGGATGAAGATAAGGCCCCTGACTACAAGTTACAGAAGCCTGACGCTGCTCTCTTACCCCAAGCAGTAACTAAAGTAAGTATTGTTTTGATATAATTCTTTAGACATAACTGACCCTTTGTCTCTATCTTTTCCCAAAGGTACAAAGAATTAACAAGTTGATTACATCAAGCGCACCTTGACTAAACCATTTCAAGAATTGTGCAACTCAACTCGGATTTGTGGGTGGAGGACTTATAGCTGCTCATGGACAAAGATGGAACATCTGGCCCGATGCTCAAACACGACTGTATAAGGCTAAATCTGTGAGTTTTATCCTCTTGGAATTATGTTTCTCTCTTCATGAACTACTACTAATATTACCAATCTTTCTCAGGTTATAAACTTCATGATAAACGAACATCAAGAGGGTTTTTACGAAGGTATCACCATCACTCCTGACGAATGGAAAGCGATCGAGGCTTTGAATGATGTCCTTGTTGTGAGTTGTTCTCTATGGTCTGTTCTATTTACAATTGCCTCGACTCAGTATTGTCTTTTCATCTCGTTTCTGTCCAGTGTTTTCTAAGATCAACCAAGAAAATGGAAGGTGATGGTCCTACTGGGGCCTCTGTCCTATTCCAGTATTCTGGCTTGATTTCTGTCCTGGCCGATATTAAAGAGAAGACTTTACATGACGGCTTATCTGATATGATCACTGGTATGATCAAACAACTGTGAGAATATCAGACAGAGGCACTTCACTGTGATCCGATCATCATGGCAACTATTCTGAACCCTAGGCTTCGATTGGAGTACTTCAAGAACAAGTATCCTGATTACGCAATTCGAGCCGATGAATTGTTTCGCCGCAAGTTTTCTGAGTACAAACAGAACAACCCTCATTTTGACTCAAGGCCGACCTCTGAGGCTGATGAAGCTAAACAAGATGTTGATCCACTCGATGAAACCAACGTGTTTGGTGGCTCTGCTACCAAGGCTCTGACAAGCGATGAAGAGCTTGATCAGTACCTTTCAGGTATTTGTCCGTGTGAGTGTGACACGGAACTACTTCACACTACACGAAATATAATGTTTTCTGGGCAGAAAATTAAATTATTGATACACAAAAATATTGAGAGGCCAGGAGAAGGGCAAAAAATAAATAAAAATATGCATCTTGTTCCCTGCGGTGAGAGCTTCACTCTCCATATTTTTCCATATTTTTACAGTCCGTATCAATAAGTGTACTAACAATAAACCTTCATAATCATCCAATTACAACCTGTAACAAGCACTGAAATTTGGCTCATTAGTGTTTAGAGAAACTTTTGATTTCTGAAAACACCTATAACTTTGTCAAATCGGCCTCAAAACACTCGATTTTAAGTGCATTAGAAAGCTGAACTCTTCCTCTCGAACTTTCATAAGATCAAGAACTATGTAGCTAGTATGACAATCATTCTATGGATCTGTATGTACAAATGTATAAAAAAGATGATATCTTTTTTAGAAGACCAGCATGCTGTGTGGTCCTATTATGAACTATTTGGAGGACAATTCCAGCTTACCAATGCACTCAAAATCGAGCGTTTTGGACCGGAATTGAAAAAGTTATGAGTATTTTCAGAAATCAAAAGTTTCTCTAAACACTAATGAGCCAAATTTCAGTGCTTGTTACAGGTTGTAATTGGATGATTGTGAAGGTTGATTGTTAGTACACTTATCAATAGGGATTGTAAAGATACGGAAAAACATGCGGAGTGAAGTTCTCAACGCAGGGAACAAGATGCATATTTTTATTCATTTTTTGCTCTCCTCCTGGCCTCTCAATATTTTTGTGTATCAATAATTTAATTTTCTGCCCAGAAAATATTATCTTTCTTGTAGTGTCACTGGTGGCGTGTAAGTCTCCTTTCCTTTTTTTCTTTCGATTTATTTAGGTAGTGACTGACTTGGCTCCTTCATTAATTGAAAGCTTAATGAAAAAAGGTTCCCAAAACTTGCGAAATTGGCCCGCAATTTCCTATGCTGTGTAGGATCTTCCTGCGCTGTGGAACGAACTTTCTTGACTGCAGCTATTGTCTGCTCTAATTGACGTAGTGGACTCACTTCTTGATCCATTGAGAGAGCTGTTGGCATCTGCCAATGGCTAAAACAAAAGTTTGTGCCTGATGGGGAACTAGGAAAGGCTGTGGCGGCGGTGGAACAGCTGGTGGCAGGTATAGCTAAGAAGAAAAAGGTAGCTGCAGTTTAATTTTTTTACCCTCTATTGAAATCGAACACTGTAGACTATAGTGTTTTATTTTGTTTCTTTCCTCCTTATATATTCTCTTAAGTCTGTGGTCTTTTTGCTCTCAAATGTTTGTGGTTATAGTCTGTTTTTATCTTGCTTTGTTAATAGACAAATATGGCCGTTTTTTTTACCGTGATTTACAAATATGTGTGCACTCCACTGCGCCACTGCGCTGTGCACACTGCGTTATAGCGCTTTGCAGGGGAAGAGCCCTTTTGAGCACACTGCACGTCCTGCGCACCGCAGCATAGGCTCAGTGCGTTATTTGTCACACTACAAACAAAAACTGATTTTCCCCAGGGAATTTCGATTCTGAAACAGCGGAAAATCACGTGACTGGCGTACAGCGTGTTCATGGGTCGGGTAGCTCATGATGTACGGTACACCTCTGTACACGCAACCAGCTGTAAATCTTCCGCAAGACAACCCCTGACGACTCACAACGGTGGCGTCTGTACACCGACCAAAAACGGACGGAGCCAACAGTAATTTCGACGACTCAAAACAGCATTCTTGGCTGAAACCATTGCAAACGGCCGTTTCCGTCAAGTCTATCGTGATCCTCCTCCCTCTCTGATCCAACATCACGAACGTCTGCATCAAACCCTTGCGTTCACGTTGGAAATGCACAAGTATAACTTTCTTGTGTTCACAATCCACAGAAATGCTTGGTGGGGCCCCTTACCCACAGATCGCCAAAAAGCAACCAGAGACGGCTGGCATGATCACCAACATGGTTCTAGATATTGACAATGCCGAGCAACTGTACTTGTTGGCAAACACAACATCCCCGTTGATGCCAATGTTTCAGTGACTGTTCACGTTCTACTGAGACTGGTCATTTCAATCTTAGTTTACTTGATGAACGTTTGGAGTGATCTTATTTTGTACTTCAAGTTTAATCTCATCCTCTCTTGCCTTACTTTGCAACCTTTTCCTTATTACTCTTATTTCTTATGGTTTGTCTGATGCAAGCCACCAGTTTTCAAAAGCGATCATTGAATACAAACTGTCCCTTGTCAAATGTTAAGAATCGAACAGTGATACATGATACTTGCCCAACAATGTTTACAACACTACAATGCCATGAAAATACAAGGCATTCAACCCACAATCAAGTAAGTCAAGCTAGAAGTTAAGAACAGCTTCTTTTGACCATCTTGAGTGTCTACTATGATGACTGACTGAATATTTGTTTGCTAATTTCCTTGACGCTTCCGTGTGTGGATAGCCATATGCTTCTAGATACATAGCTTAAACCACACCTGTCAGCAATCAAAACCAGCACCTGAGGCTGAGTATTTCCTGCAGCTTGCACATGTTTTTCTTTCTCATGCACCAACCAACTTCATCTTAGTGTACTTATTGAATTTGAACACTTGCATGTCTTGGGCTTGAAGTAGTCAGTCCAACTTGACAATCCGGTCCAACACCATCCTTTGTGATCTAATCATCTGGCAGCTTCACAAGAATGTAGCGTGCTCAACAGCTTCCCTGTAGATATACTAATTTGGAGGATGTTCGAGATGCGGATCGACAATTGTAATGTGCTGATCAATGTACATATTTATATAGTCAGCAGGTAACTCGTGATGCATACTTGAGGTCAAAGGCTGACTGACCTTGCCACAGTTTACCAAGAGAACGAGATGGACCAGCTTGGGCTGACGACAGATTGAGAGAAGTGTGAGGACAACGGGGACCCAATCCATTCGGCCGTTTTTGATGGTTTCAGCCGTCCATTTTGAGTTGTGGAAACGTCGAAGGCGAATCAGTCCGTTTTGGGTCGGTGTTACAGCACTTCACACATCTCAGTCGACGGACACGCGGTCTCAAAAGTTGCACAAGCTATTAAAAACTCTCTGATAGGAAAATTGCTGAAGGTGAAACTGGAAAGAGCTGGTAAGGCATTGTTTTCCCTTCACAGATTGTTTTCATACCTGTTCTAATAATTCTCTCAATTCCAGTGCATCCAAGACCTCGAATGCTGTGATTCCAAACCAATCCGCTCCAACATCTGCCAAGCAAATTGCGCCTGCCTTATTAGATATTATTCACATATTTTGTGTAAAAGAGAGCTGCGGGTGCTGTGTTTGTGCACAGGCGGTGAGTGCTGGAAGGCTGCTTGAGAGAGGTACACCGTACGACACCGTCGAGGGGGGTGATAGAAACAGTGGTTGGCAATTGTTTCAGGTGAAGGGATCGTGTTCGTACGATTGCCGATGCAGAGGCAGCGTTCGTGATGGTTGCCGGCAAAGAGACCACGTTCGTGATGGTTGCCGGCAAAGAGACCACGTTCGTGATGGTTGCCGGCAAAGAGACCACGTTCGTGATGGTTGCCGGCGAAGAGACCAAGGTTCGTGGTGGTTTCAGACGAAGAGATCGTTTTGACTTGATTGGGAACGTTTGACGACGGCGTCGTCCGTTTTTGGTCGGTGTACAGACGCTGCAGTCGCGCATCGTCAGAGTGGCGATGTATGGGTGGATGTGTGTACAGCGGTGTACAGTACATCAAACCGCGTAACCTCTGTACACGGTGTACATATGTCACGTGATTTTCCGCTTATGGGAAATCAAAAATCCCCGCGGAAAATCAGATAGTTTTTGTAGTGTCAGCGCATCACAGTAATGCGCAAAAGTGCGGTGCACTGTGGTGACGTCAGGGATTGGTGGGTGTCATTGGGTTACCATGCGCCAATTCCGTAATGTCATCGCTGGTGTCTTCTCACCTTCAGACCCCAACTTCATTTTTCACTTCTCCAACATCGCTCGTATTGCAATTGGCATTGATGAAGCGGCGGGACGCCTTGCTTACCACATTGGCGGTGCCCCACCTCCTCCCGGCAAAGCACTCTCTTGCTTACCAGTTGTCCTGGACTCCTCTTATAGGGTCCCAACTGAAGGGATCCGTTTTTATCAGATGCCATCAGATCTACATATCAGAACACCTTCTCTTCCCCCACAACCTACTGCCTCCGGGAGCAGACTCACTGAGGCCTTTAGCACTGGAAATCCTGCCAGGTCTCGATTGGTTTTGAGAAGGCCAAGGTCACCTATTCCGTTGGCCGACAGAATTGGTCCAAGAGCTCAATGTGCCTCAAAACAGGAGCCCTCCTCGTAGGATGTTTTGGACAAGTCCCTCCAGAAGTCGGTGCTCTCGGGGTGGTTCTGAGGAACGACCTCCGATTTTTCGTCAAGAAGAAATCAACTTTGAAGCTCGTCCCATCCGGGAACAAGTGGGTTCTCCTAGGAGGCCTCCTGTTGACGAACAACCAGCGGCTTCTAGATCTACAGGGAAGGGACATTACTTTTCGCCCTCCCCAGCTCCGAGATCAGCTAAGAAGAAGTCAATTCCCCCTCCTCCTTCACCACATGACTCCTCTGACGGTGACGACTTGGTGGACGACGTCTATTTCCCGCTGCCAGGTGCAAAAAAGCCTCGCCTCTTTGCCAAGCCAATGGAGGCATCGGTCGACTCAAAGGCTTCTCCATTCGCCAATGCTATAGAGTGTGTTCATCCCAAGCTCAATGGCAAACGGATCTATCTGGTTGCCTCTCTGGAAATGAGCTCACCCAGCCGCAAGACGTTTGTTGGACATATAAAGCAAATGGGTGCAGATGTCTATGACACACAAGCGCCGGATCCAAGCTGGGAAGGGGATCGTGATGCATCAGATACAGTTCCAGGAACCGCCCTTTCAGCCGCTGATTTCGTGATATGTGATTCTTGCTCAGGATGGGAGTTTTGGCTGGCCTGGGAGTCGGAGAAGTCTATTGGAACATTCCAATGGATCACTGCTCTCCTCAACATTACGAACCCTCTCCATTGTCGAATCCAATCCCCTTTGGCCAGACTCTTTGACTACCCGATACCGCCTGGGATGATTTCCGGATGGGATCCTAGTAAAAATGTGGTCTCAATCACCAACTACACTGGCTTTTCTCGAGCTTGGCTAATCCGACTGATTGAAAAAATGGGACTCAAGTACAGCGGGCCGTTGGATTGTAGCACATCCCTTCTCTTGGCTGCAAAGTGGGTCTTGTTTCTTCTTCGACATCAAGTTCAACTTTGACTACTTTGACTGACATGTATATTTTGCATTACCCTAATCCTGCACAACACAGCAAAAGTGGAAAAAAGGTAGAGTGGGCATCTGAATTGGGCATTCCCACCGTTAATCATCTTTACCTCGAGGATTGTTTCCGGAGTTGGTCAAAGTTGGAGGTCAAGTTGATTCATACAAGCTACCCTAAAGATGGTGATTTGCTTCAGCCAACTTACAATTCTGGTTACACAATTGAGACCATCCAGAGATGGTCCCAAACATCAGCTGCTAAAGAGGAAAGAAAGTCTGTTTTGCAAGAATATCATTGGTCTTGCAATATCAATGCCGCCCACAATAAATTTGAGTCTCATTCATTGCAAGAGGTGACCATCACGGACGAATCGGACCACATCAACCCAGATGATCACACAAAGCCTCTTTCCAATCTTGCAATGTCTGAGAAGCCTGTGCCCAAGAACAACACCAAGCTCAAAAAGGCGGCTTTGCGTGACACATCTGACGACCAGAGTAGGAACCGATTGCCTAGCCCCTTAACGTCGGGTGCTTTCACAAGTGCACACGAGTTTCCCAAAGAAAACGGCCACTTGTCAGCCCCATCTGCTCCCTCCAAACCAGGGCCTCCTTGCTCTTCTGTAGGCATGCCTGACCCTGATCAGAGCGTTGGTCCTGATGGTTGAGTTGTTCTTAGTGCTACCGAACCAACCGATTGCTCCAGAAAAACTTCCGAAATGGGTGTGAGTAAGTCTGGAGAAAATGATGGGGAAGCTCACCGGCCCCGCAAGGACTTGAGGGTGGGTCTTGAACACTTGAGAAAAGAAAGGAGTTCAAACAAAACGGACAAAATGAATGCCAAAGGTCCCTCACTTGATGATATCAGCAAAATGAATGCCTCAAAGGCCGTGGCCAGCACCCCCAAATGGGTCAACAGCAAGGACACTAGCCATCAATCACGTACATCTCATGCACAGAAAGCGCACCAATGACATCTCTCTGACACCCCGATTCCAGCAAGCAGTTCTTCTCAGTTCATCAGACGCGCTTTGACACGTACAACAGCCAAGAAGACCACGGCTAAGTTGGCGGATTGCACTGCGGACATGCTCTTGCATGAACAAGAGAAAAAGTATAATGTCTAATCAGGGCCAGGCTTGGCGGGACCCAGTGATGGTGGTTACTTTGGTGACGTAGGCGCCAAGCCTCCGTCAGCTTCCAAGAATTGTGGTGAACAACAAAGAAGCAAGATCAGAGAAGGTAGCAGCTTGGCCAATACTGATCAAGCTCAACCATAGTAAAGTCAGCAGCTAGATTTGTTTTCCCTTTGAGGTGTTGATTTGCTCATGCTTGTGTTTCACATTCAGCAACTCCAGAGCAGAACCGTGGAACAAGATCATGCAAGCAGATTTGTAAAGCCTAATTTTCATGCTATAAAAAGGCAACATGGGACCTCACTCCATTCATTCACACATGTTGACTTTCCTCTATTTTTCTTTTGCAATTCATATTGTCATTTTGTTCTCGTTCTTCGACCCAATCCCGTGTGGCTTCTATTGTATTTTTCCAAGTCCTATCATTCAAACATGACCAAATTATTTCGTACACATCAACAACCCTTCTTTGTTTCCTCTGTGCAAATAGTATCAAGAATGTCTTGCGAGATATTGTGTGCATCTGCACTCCACGTCAGATACTGCTCAGACCTTGCAAATCTAAAATATAAAAACGTAGAAGCAACTCGCATAAAGTACCGCTTGGCACCATTCAATCCTCTTGGCTCCCGCTCATATTCCTCTATGTACATCATTTTTCAATGCTTTGAAATGAGTACAGATGGATTCGACTCTCTCACTGGACGCTCGGGACTATTGGAAGTACGCGGAGTGGTGCCATTGGCACGCACAAACAAAGTCTTCTGTATTGCTGCTAACTTGAAACTTGAGCAAGAGAAAGACCCCTGTTGGGGAGGCCTGAGGCCTTACAACTGTCTACTGTAAAAAAATAATTGGCTTAAAACGTATAACTAAAAAGAGAAAACACATTTACTCCATCCCTCCTAAATATTAAACTGAAACATAGAGAAATATAAACAAAACTTAAAAAAAAACAGTCTAAATAAATGTAAATAAGTAAATTATTGATAGGAAACCTGCCGGTTCTTTTTTTTTCTTCTCTGATGGGTGGGTGGGTGGCTGGGAAGAAAAAAAATGACAAGCGCCAATGATGGAAAGTCTGCACACGCTGTAGAATGGATTTGTTGTAACAGAGCTTGAAATGAGTGTGTGAATATGGAGTTGTGGTTATTGAGACTGAGCGTACAACTACTGGGAAGAGGAAAGTTGGACCGCGAGTATTCTTGGAACTATCCTACATTATTGAGACTTCAACCACAGCTTCAAACCCAGCTCATTGGGGTACAAGTCTACATGCCGTACCTTGAAGTTTCCCCAATCCGCTCTCAACATATTATAACAAATCATTCGGCGACTTCCAGTTGTCGTTTGTCTTGTAAGTCCATCCTGACTTATTCCACTCCGTTAATCAAACACCAACCTTGAGGTCATTTGAGTGATTCCCTTTTGGGAATCCTGTATTACAAACTAACTATCAGTGGTAGTTACTAATGATGTGTCACTATTTTTCTATGTTCAAAGGTAGCTAAATATCTAAGTTTTATTGTTTTTGTCTTTGAAACTTGACACAAGGTGACATTTGTATTTTTGTAATTTTTATATATGTTTTTTATTTGAACTTCTTTTGGCTTTTGCTCCATGAAAGCTCAAGGGCTGACAGAATCCATCAAAGGCTTCAGTATCTTTTAGTATCTTTTGCAAGCAGTGGCCTGCCTTGGTACGCTGCCATTCTATTTTGAACTCAAGATTGTTACCAAGTTTGGCTGATTTCCAATGAGTTCTTCATTTGCGATTTCATGAATGTACACTTGTAATCATGATAGCCGGAAAGCTGGCGAAATCTTCAACAGCTAAACCATTACGTCATTAACTTTCTGTCATAACCAATTTGGAAAACAAATGATACAGTCTGTTATAATGTTGCGGTATGAGATACAAGAAGGCTTGTGTATAGAAATGGATACTGAAATGGACTTGTAGGGACAAATGGACCAGTAGCGTAGACTAAGTGTTTTTGTAGGCCTGCATAGGATTGATACATTTGTATCAGTAGACTATCTTTGTGGACCTTTTCAGTACATATAGGAGCATTAGATGTACAGTGGTGGTTGGTATGCTGCTCCTAGAGTTTTGAAATTGGTAACTGTGGCGGGAATACCCACGGGTTCTCTAGTGTTATAAAAAAATTGAAAAAAAAATAGTGAGAAGAGATAAAATAGATTTGAATGGAGAATATTAGAAAGTACTTGTTTGAGTTCTTGCATCTTGTTCTTGACCATTAATGTTGAAATGAATAAGCGAAAAAAGGAAAAAAAATAGGGAAAAGAATAGAATTTTTTGAATGCCTCCTAAGATTGTAGGTTTTTTTTGGGTGAGGGAGGGTGGGAAATCAAAATTCTTAGAGACAAATCTATAAAAACTGAAGAAAACTGAAGATTGGGAACTACTTGTAGCTGATGCAATCACTGAAGGTACGATTGGACAAAAAGCAGTTACTAGGTCCGGCTGGGAGAAAGGACTAAGAAAAACATATCGAACAATAGTATCCTTGATCTACTATTGATGTCGGGGATTGAATCGTCTTCAGGGAGTCTTTCTTGATTAGTCTTTGGTTGTTTCCAAGGATCGGCCAGTGAAAATTGATTTGGAAGCTCTGCTAATGTTTCAATGAACCCATGATCCTCATCACAAACTTCTTCCCTGTTTGTATACAAACCAATAGACAAAACACAACAAATGGTTACAAAGATCCTAAACTCTCTCTCCAACGTCATTGTTGCCATCTGATATCTCCTTTGGTGACTATTGTTGGAACCAAACAACTTTTTTCATAATATCTTGCCACAGCTGGATTATTGATGAATTAGGATGAATTCCAAGATCTACATATTCCTTCATGGCAAAGGCATGTGAGTTTTGAAATATAATTCAGAGTGGAGTTTGGGAGCGGTATGAGGTTCCGACTGGAAGACAGACAAGCATGGGAAATTTGGAGATACTCACACATAGTGTGGGAAACTAGCCTCGATCCACCTGCAGATCAGCAACTGAGGCTTCCCTAGTACAACTTCCATCTTGCAGGAATCAGATCACTTCAGCATCTCCACGACTTCTGAATTTGGTTTCTCGATGGCAGCTATAGGAGATCTTTCTTTGGACAACCGCTCCAGTTCGGTTCCCATCAACCTGGCCGGTTGGCCCAGCCGTTCACCTTGATTCAATATTGATTGATGTTTCATTTTTAAAACATCACAATGATGTGTTTGTCATTTTCTACTTTAAGTGAACGCATATAATAATTTAGTGAATAAAATAAGCTAGAGAGTAAAAGAACAAAAAATGAATTGAATCAAATCGATAGAGTTTTCGAAACCAAGTTCATGGCAGCAGGCAGGTAGAATGCAGCTAAACCGGTCAACCTTGCACCTAACTGGGCTAAAACTTGTGAATTAAACATGTCCACCACCACCACCACAACAACAACAACAACCACAACACCCTACAGGGCAGCAAGTGGTACATATACTACAATAACATCAAAAATGTAACACTAAACGGAGAATACCATTTGTACACTAATGAATATGAAGGAAAGAACAATTGAAATACACAAAGAAGAATAAAATAACATAACAAATGAAAAGTAAAATCTTTCCGCAAATAAACATTTTTTTATGTGATAGCAAACTTTCTCAGAGGCAAATGAAGAAGACCAAAAATAAACAAACAACAGCGACAACAGGGTGGGAGGGCAGGCTTCAAAAATTGATACCTTAGAATGCGATCAACTAATGTATATTTGAAGAACTAAAAAATGGAACTATTGAAATGTAGATGTGGTAAAGAAGCATTTTTGGTAAAATGAACAAAAATTTGGTAAAGAAGAATGTACGACGTCATCTTACGTGTTGAATGGCAAACCCTGCATCATTCGAGCTTCGCTTGCCAAGTACTGTTCCCTCATTTCCTTTGTTGCTTCTCTTGGAGCCGGCCAAAACTCGGAATTCTTTTTTCCTCCAAGCTGGTTAGCCACTGAATGAGCCGTGAAGGTTACATCATTGGCAACCGGGCCAGGTATAGGCTCATGGCAATGTCGACAATTGCAAAAGTCTTGCAATCGATGACAGTATCTGAGATGCTTGGCAAGGCTAGTTCTGTATGTCCACACATACATGTTGACGCAGTCGGGGAACGGGCATCTCTTTGGTTCAAATTCATGCGAATCCCAATGGTGAATCCTCAGGGCCCTCGCTTTCATAAACGTTTTTTTTGCAGTCCTTGTAGTCGCATTCAAATGGTCCAGGTTTTAACTTTTCCGCCACTAATTCTTTGGTGCATATTGCTGCGTGGGAGGTTAGGCTCTCACCCCTCTCGGTCCAATACAAACAGCCTGGTGTGACCTTACGTTTGAAATGATGAGGTGATGGCAGATTTTGGGATCCTCCACGAGGCAGCCATTCTAAAGTTTTCTCTGATGGGGGCGGTTCTACCCACAGAGGCGGACTGCTTCCGTTTTCACGAGCTGCTTTGCATTTCCGGTTGAATGCCATCATGTGACGATGCTTGTGTTGAATGGCAGTGGAGGTAGTAATGTCAGATATAATGTGCCGCAGTGGTGGCGTCTGGGTTGGAGTTGAGACTTTCCTCCTCAGTGTTCAGTTCGTCAATCATTGCAGGTGTCATCCAGAAATTTTTGCCAGTGCTATCCTTGTGGCTCACATCCATCTCCTCTTCACCCTCCTCGCCAGTGGCTTTGATAGGAAAAGACATGTCAGATGACAGATGAAAATGTCATGAGAATGGATCATGAGAAAGAAGACATGCACGGTATGGCACCTTATCATTATCACGGCCTTCCTGATATACATCCACCAATCTATCCAATCTGGCTGGATCTCAAAACGCATCACCCAACTTCCCTACAGAATCTGGGTCTTCTGGACAATCTTGTGTCAGATTGGTGAGGTGACAAACTTGGAAAACTTGGCTCACCTTTGTCTTCTTCAACCAAGGCCCTTTTCTTACTGCCCTTTTGACCTTTTTGAGGTGCCTTGGAAATTGAAGCGGACGAGATTGATTCAGAGGCTGCAACAATTTTTTTTACATCACTTCCATACGGATTGTCTGTATAGGCTCCAGGGCCCAGACCTCCTTTACTGAAAAGATCCAGATTGAACGGTTCAAGATTGGCAAAGAGTTGTCTGGCGGCAAGGTCGTCAGTCTTACTGCAACCTGTATAGCAATCGGCCGTTCCATTTTTGACAGCGTGAGCTGAATGAGCAAGCTTTTGTGCCACCCAGTCACGGTTATTGCTATAATCACCACAACCAGCCAATTCGAATACATCTTGCGCCACCCCGTGTCTGATCGAATGAAACATAATTCAATGTGCAAACCCGGCCATTTTGGCCATTGTCCTCAACGATTCCAAGGGTTGTCAAGAGCTCGCAGGGGTGCCGATCTTCAGGCCGTAAGGAAAATGCGACAATTCGCAGATGGCAGGATATTTGGGATAGGCCCATTGGACCTTTTGATTGGGTTGTTGCACAGCATAGCAAAGGACTTTGGAGAGCTTCTCCCCCCAAGAACGGTGGCATGCCGCATTGAATGGATTCACATCCAGGAGATTGGGCATATAGCCGGATTTTTCAGATTAGGCATGACACTGTGCTGGTTCTGGTCGTACGGGGTGACTTTGTGACCCTTGTCGTATTGGATGTGAATACGACAGGCTTGGATGTCCTCCAATGTCGTTTTGGTGTCAGGGTTATTGGGCGCTTGCACCACAATTTCAAAATCCTCGTAGCGGAAAGACGCAGTGGAGGGGGCCTCATCCGTGATCCCAAGCGCACCGGTGCAACAACCGGTGGCGACTGCCAAGACAACAGTGAGGATACGAGATACTGGAACATCCCAGTTGGAACACCCAATTTGAGAAAGCTCTCGGAGAAAGTTTGTCACAATGTGGGTCAAAGCTCAAATGTTGATGACCACGCGTGGGTGCCAATGACCGATGGTGGCCCAGTCATTCTTGATGGCTCTTTGGATGTAGGTTTTGATGTTGGCCTCTTTGACGGGATTGAGGAAAGGTCCCCCTTCCCATTATCCCTTGCTATCATCTTGATGTGGCCAATTTCTCGACAGACGGTGTTGGCAGAAATGGTGGGTTTGTCTTTGATGTTTGAGACCTTTTCACGCCATCAAAAGCCCTGGTTAGGGTCTCCAAGGCAAACCATGATGAATCGGGTGATGTCGACACCGTTAGGTGTGGTCTTGTCTGCACGCTCGATCTTTTGAAAGTTGTACCACTGTTGCTGAACAAGGTTGAAGTGATCATACACAGAGAGTTTGTGGGCCTTTGTACTTGCTGAACCAAAAATGTTGAGCACACAGGTCATATCCCACGCCGGCACATCAGGCATAGTAGTATCCTTGCCCGCAAACTGTTCCCATTTCCTTACAGGTTTCTTCTTAGGATCCTGTTTGGCCTTTTTTGACGGCATGGCAGTCTGCATATATCAAACGCAAGCGAACATCAGTCAGAGAAAACCAAATAATAGGAAAAGGAGGGGATGGACTGACTATGCGGAAGGCCTGCTAAAACAGTTCCAGAGTCCAATCCAGTGAGCAAGCGGTGGAAGTCTAGAGTCCGAGCCAGGAAGTCTAGTGAACAAGAAAGACTTGATCTCAAGCAAGACCTAAAAAGGTAAAGATTTGTGTCAGTCAGGCAACACTTTGTGTTAGATAGCATCTGGACTCACCCTTTTTTACCAATGAGTGCTCAGAATAAGAGTGTATCGTGTGAAGGAGGTAGAAGGTCCAATTGTAATGGAAGCTGAAGCAGACTTGGACAAAGAGGCAGACGGTCAATAAGAGCTTGCCACAAGCCAGACAGGAACAGGACTCACTCAACACAGATTTGCAGGCGCTTGGTAGTAATGTAGAGAGAGACAGTTCAAACAATACGATAAAGTCGATAGCTGATGACTGTGATAGAAATTTGTAGTGGAAAGGAAGTAAAACGAGACAATAATGTCAACAGCCAATAAAGTCAATAGCTGATGATTCTGATAGATAGTCAGATTTTAAACAAAAACGAAAAGATAAAGTGGATGAGTTGAACGGATATCGAGAACAGAATGCTAAGATGAGATGGATCACTAATGTGATCAGAAGAGGTCAATGGATAAGAGGAAAGAACACTATAATGAGGCTTAGATATTTCTTGAATGGAAAATAAAAGAGCAAAAAGAAGAGAAATTCAACAGCTGATGAGTCGGATGGAATTGAGAATACTAAGATGAGTTGGATAAGTGATGTGGTCAACAGCCGATGGGTTAACTTGGATAGATAGTTTATTGAGAGGTCAACAAAGAGGGTCATCAGCAATCAAAGGATAATCATAATCATCAAATGACGTCACCAAATTGATCAAGACATTTTGAAGACATAGGTTGCCATGAGAACAACATGATCACGAGATCTTCGCAGGTCAAGGACTATTCCTCCTGGCAAGCAGAGAGTATGATGTGAGAATTCCCACTGAGCAGACTTGTTCAAGTGTGAAATGAATTGCATACAAATTTCCTCTGTTGTCAGAGTTCATGGAAGGGAACAGTGGACCCAATGCCTAGTGGCCAAGGAAAATCGAATGAAGTTTTTGTAGTGATGTCTCTCAAAGTGTCAAGCACTGGAGATCAAGCTTCAGAACCACCATTCTTAGAACCAATCTCTCAAACAGGATCTATAGGACTCTATCGGCTAATCAAAGATTTGGAATGTATCATCAGACTTTTTAAATTACCTGTACATAGGTGCGGAGATGTGAACAATGTCACACATCAACTGAGATGATTATCAGCTCAAAAGAAGTGGGTTATTGCGTGAAGTACATTTTTTTGGGTAGGTAGGGGTTAAATGCGGCTAGGGGAAAGCGGTGATATTCATCAGGCTATGGTGTAAGCCGACAGTCCAGTAGCAATCTTAGATTACTAGGCAGGTGAAACGGTGAAGATTTATCAGGATGTTCTGCTTGATGATTCACACAAAAGTCATCAAAATCAAGTTTGATGGCATGAGCCAAGTTCCAACGCAGTATTTCACGCTGTGCCCAAACATTGACAGCAGTTGGTAGACCTTTCTTGCAGATGTCCTTGTTGATGCCTTCCGGAAAGAGAGCTTGAGTCAGAAAATTGTTGATCAAGTCCTGAGTTCTTTGCCATACTGTCTCGGTGATGGGTTTGTTTATAATCAATTGGTTCAGTAAGATCATAAAGTGCATGAGTTTCGTCTTGGTAATGTCTCTACTAAAGTCTTGTGGGTATGAGATCAAAGATTGCACACCCCCAGCTAGAAAGTGGAGGATTGGTGCCAAGGTTTCCGGTTCCAATGCGGCCTTGAGCTTCTCCGTGACGTCTTTGAAGTTCTTGTCCGATTTGGGAGTGTGAGAAGATTGTCCAAAATGCCTGAGAGCACAACAGATTGATGCGCCTCCTGCAGCTGCCCCATAACACCTTGTGATCAGGAAATCCAAGCATTTAAAACTATTCTCTGTACATGCGCCATCATCGAACTCAAGGTGTGTGTTGCCAGGCTTTAATTTCTGATAGTATTTGGCACAATTGATGGCCATCTTGACAGACTCGGAAAGATTGGTGTCTTCATTCAGTTCCATCGGTTTAGGCTTGGAATCTGTTTCAGAGCCAATGACAACAACTGAAGCAAGGATGATTTGTGCAGCGTAGATTTCTGGCTTCGGATTGTTGAGGGAATGAAGGACATCTCTGGCACGCTGAGCGGAGTCGTCTGAGGCTGTTACCCCCAGTGGCTGTTTCACCAGGTCAATGTTGTCAAAATTGAATAAGTCATCTCGTCAGTACGGTGAATCTGCTCCAGGTTGGAACATCTGTTGAGCTGAGATCAACAGCCCGAGAGATTGTCAGCCAAAGACTGTGACAAAGAAAGAGAGTTCAAAGGAAACATAGGGCTCACTCGTCTGATCATAAACCCATTCCTTGAGCATCATGTTTCTCTTTCTGACATACTCTAGTCCAGGCTTGGCAAGCTCGGCTGAATTATATGCCTTTCTTCCTGGAGATTGGGCGCCTTGTCCTCTTAGAAATAATATCTTTCCAACAACATCATACATTTCTTTACACTCATCAATGTTGATAACTCCCTTGAGGCCTGTTTGGGTATTTAAGTCAAAGTATGAGTTTTCTTTCCACATGGTGAGCTTGTCGTGTCCCAAGACCAAAGGGGGTGGGGCAGAGTCTGGGTTCTCCACAGAGACAGGCTTTTGTCGCTTGGAGGGATTTGAGTTTCTGGAAGACTTTTTTCCTTGCTTGTTATTACACTGCTCCTCAACCCAAACCATTTGGCCTTCCACGTTCTTGAACTTTCCAGCCAAGCAATCTGGTCATGTTACATGGTCAGGATTGGGTAACTTTCAATTGAAGATGAATTGGTGAAAGGCCTCTTACCTTTCCTGAAACGCTGGATCACTACGCTACTCAACGCTATCAGGACCAATCCGGATAGCGTAGATGAGCAAGTTATCATAACAACGCAATAATGTTATTCTGGGGACCATTAGCTAACACTTTGTAATTAACGTAAGTTGACCAAGCTAACGAAAGAATTGAAATTGCAAAACGTAACTGTAGAGCGCTACAAAAACGCGCTAACAACTAACATAACGTAAAAAAAAATTAATCGGCTTCGCCGTAAGCTATAGCAGCAAGGGCTGGCTTAGTGGTAGAGACTACTATGATTGATTATTCGCATTCATTGTGAGGTTGCAAGCTGTTGTGAGAGTAGGACTTTAGTGTCAATAGCCACTGTATGATCATCAAATTGGGATAAAAACCCCAATTCCAATGTAAACCAACCACAGGGCGAACTGACTCGCACGTTGGGGTTGAGGGTGCATACAGAATACTATCTCATCATACATCCTACAAGTTGGTTACAACTCTTTACATCAAGGATCTTCGCCTTCAGGAGGTGAAGCCCTCAAATTGGTGCAGGGGCACGCTAACCAAAGCTAATAGCTAACATCAAGTCTTGATGGCTGTCAACGTACATGAACAAATCCAGCTAATGCTAAAAATGTAGCAATACCAAGTTAACAAAAATTCCAGGATCTGGTAGCGTAGATCACCACATCTCATGGAAAACGTTGGTGGAGATGGATGAAAAAGTTACGCTACCAGCTTCTCTAATGCTTTTTTAGCGTAATTGGTCCAGCGTTGTTTCCTGACTTTCTCCAAAACCTTGATGATCTTTTTGTACCCTTCGACAACCTCCGACGTCAAAATCTTCTCAGCCAGCTGTTCTTTATGCCAATCTACCTGTTCTTTTAGTGTAACAGCATAGGTCTGTGGACTCAGACGCACGTGTGCATCTGCAGATGGTCAAATGGTTTAGATTGGTCAACCTGAAATCAAAGCAGTCGAAGTGTGCACATACCTCTATCCATTGGCGATTGAGTTGATGATGTGGATTGAGTTGATGATGTCGATTGTGTTGACGATGTTGATTGAGTTGATGATGTTGATTGAGTTGATGATGATGATGATGATGATAATTCAATCATTCATCATATTTTATTTGAAATTCTTACACAGAGCATCCCTTTTTCTCTGACTCTTTCACCAAACTCTGCTGGGTGGCAAAGTTTGGGGGCCAACTTATTGCTTAAAGTAAGAGCTAGTATCTTATCAAATTGAAGATGCCTGGTCTGAAGGGCTTCAAACCAGATCAACAGTAAGCTGTAAAGCTCAACATTTGGCGAAATGTGAAGCTTACATCATGTAAGCTTCACATGTGGCACTTTGGCGCCTGCTCATCTGGAGACGTAAGCTAGGATCCAAACAAAGACCAAACTTTGGTCTTGGTAAAGAACATCATATATATGGAAATGCTCTCCTGACCAATGCCAAACGAAACTTAGAAATCTGTAGTCATTGACAAATATTGATGGATAAGATATTCTAAAAAAATCCGAAGTAGGAAAGCTTGGAACAAAAGATTCAATAATGATTATGATTGACCTCAGAAACAACCATTTGCCTTGTAAGGCGTGATCTGAAATAACACAAACTTTGAACAAGCAGGCAACATTTGATCAATGAGACTTTTGTCCAATATTATTAGAAGACTTAATAAGTGATGTGAGTAAGATAATACAAATCAAAAAGCACTTCAGCCTTGTTTCTGCCTTTTCTTCCCTTTTGACACATGATGGTTTGGCTGCTTTACAAGGCGGCTGGACCAGCGTACTTTTCCAGGATGGTCAGAGGGTTCCGGTGAGGACTCCAGATTGGTTACGGGTGAGCGGGTTTGAATATGATCCTTCAGATGCTGGGGCAATGTTGATTCCTTCTTGAAGGAATCGTCCCCCTGCAGACCATCACCTTCTTCTACTTCTTCTTCACTTTCGGGAATGGGGGCATCGGAAGGATCTTCAGGAGGACAACCTGAAGCTTTGCTGCAAGTCGTCTTTTGCAACGCTTCTACACAATCTTTCAAAGCAATGTTGTAAGTGAGCAACCCAATCATCTCAAAAGACAAGACACACACCTTCAGTAGTGACCCCATCCTCGGGTGGAGAGGTCATTTTGGTTTCACTTCCTGCCTTGGAGACTTCCTTTTGAGGTGTTGAAAGGCAGAGCGGCATTTGTGCTTGGACTTTCTGTTGGTTGTATTTTTTAATACAATCCTGAGCTGTCTGTTCCAGGGTTTTTCTGGCTGTTTTGAGGATATCCCCATTCCATGAAGTTTATGTCTCAGTATCCTTTGATTTTTGCTTGGAAGTTTCCTACCTCAAAGAAAGCCACGGATGATACATGAGTCGAGCCAAAGTGTAGTTGGCAGGATGAATCTGACACATACACAAATCCACTTCATCATCTTGGCTCGATCTGTGACAAACATTTTGACCAAGTGGATGAGGTACAGACCACAGTCGTTAGAATTAGGTTGAGTAGGCACAGGTACATGTATTTGCGTGATGTTCTCCACATTGGACACAGAAAGATTTGTTTGTTTTTTGTTGTTTGCTTCTAGAACAAAGTACCAAAGGATTCTCTTGGCGGTTTCATGATGGCACTGATTTAAAGAGTCAAATATCAAGACGCACAGGCTGAGATGGACCAACTCAGTGACTTTCATGTTGGCAATGGAAACCAAGATTAACTGACCTATCCATTGAGACATCCAACAATTTCCCAGGATTTGCAACAATGAAGCTGTTCAAAGCATTTACATTAAGATCACCAACAGCCATGTCACAGACAAAGGAATAAGAACCTCACATCTCTTTTGGCTCAGCTGTGAGTTTCTGGAAGAACTGAGCACTGAACATATAAATTGAATCCATGAGGTTTGGATCACTTCAGAGAATCTCTTGAAGGTGCAAACTAATAATTTGCATGCACGTGAACATCAATGGTGCTCATGGGACATTCTTGTTTGATGAGCTGACCTTAATCCGAAATCAACCAGCGTGTCATTCAGCCATTTGGTTTCTTTCATCAGACGGGTCAGATCAGATTGATAAAGCCAAATGGGTTCCTTTCTCAGACCTAGCCATTGCAAAAATCTGCAACTCAGTGCAAGTCAATCCCCAAGGCTTGATGAGCGGTCAAATTGGAAGCTTACATCTCCTCCTCATCTTACGTTTGCTCAAACCTCAGAAGCTCAACATCAATTGTGATGCCTTGTGTCTTGCCCTCAACCGGTGCCTTATACAAGGTCCTGATGGGTGGTGGCCTGGGTGAAGTGTCAGCATCAACAGAAAGTCTGATGCCAAAGAAGCTTTCAAAAGATGGCTCACTGCGTTCTGGAGGATCGATTTTCAGGTAAGGGCATTATCCCGAGTTTCCAAATGAAACCAAGCAGAGAGAAATGGGAGTGGTCCTCAGATATACAATGGACAACTGTGAGTTTTAAGTAAACACTATGGGGATATTGGTCAAGAAAACGGTCAACAGCTATGACATCATACAAAGCTGTGGGATGATCCAAAAATGTCCGACCCGCCAGACAATCCTCCCAATGATCCCAATTTATTTAAAGAGAAAAGGCAGAAACATCAGAGTCCGAAAGACAAAGAAGATCATAAAAACCTAAAAGAAAAAGTTCAAGGCACACACGTAGCTTTCCCTCAAAAGCCTAGGTTTGAAAGCGTCTGATTTCAAGTAGCTGTCTCTTTCAACTTGTGCTTAAGTATCAAAGTCCTATTCTTAATGATATGAGTGTTGTTTCCAAAAAAACCTGTCAAATTCAAGTTATCTGATAGTTGTGCATGTTTCAAAGCAAATTTATTTGTAGTCGTTTGATCGATTTCTTTCCATATATGTATGTGGGCAGTTTGATCAACTTGACGCTTTTTCCTCCCCAGAAAATCAGAGGGCAAGCTCCACATCTCATGAGATGTGGAGCTTGCATAAAAAATGGTATGTAGTCCCAAAGAAATCCACACATTTGTGAGCTTCCAAAAAAAATAAGTTGTATTCACTGCATCAAAACATCTGTGTACCAAAAGTAATATGAATTATTTCCACTTATCCAAAAAAAGTTATATGTCTAAGAGACCTTTGCAATTCCAAGTCAACACATTCAACACTTCACCTGTCAAGATGAAGTCAAAGGCCATCAGCATCTTGAACTCCACAGCCAAAAATCTGGGAAACTATCTCATCCATACCAATCCACCCAAAACACTTGGTTATTTTGGTCTTGACTTGACCCACACTGGAAGCGCTTCACAAACGTTGAACCTTGATAACCCTGCCAGTTGGACCACATTCATCTCATTCTTGAAGAATATAAACGCAAAGAATGGTCACTATGCGGGACTGTTGGTGAAGATGCAAAATCCTGATCAAGTTCATAAAATGATGGACGAAAAGGAGAAACTAGGAAATCACATGACAGCGTGGAAAACTGTGCAGAGTGGCAGTGGACTTCCTGCACGCCCACAACCAGAAATCATCCTTCCAAGTCCAAACTCTAGTCAACAAAACTTGAAGACTGTACAGGCCATCACACAAGCAAACTCCTTTGGAATAAGTGGTGGAACAACCCACATTTGATATGTAGATTCTCTTGATAGCCGCTACTGGGTTGCTGTCAGTATGCAAATGATCCGCTTATGGGCGGATGCTTTGGTTAATATGTTTTTCTCTTCACTAGGGATACATCACTACTAATCCAGAGTTGGCCCTTTTGTTTAGATTCTTGCCACCAATACTGGCTCAAAACTAGTCACCCTAAAGATTCCACCCAAGATACCCGAAATCAGGACTTTCCTGATTGGAGTTGATCCAAACATCCCCAGTCTAAGTTCTATGAGCTCTGCAATACCTTTGGAGCAACCTAAGCAAGCTGTTTCAAACAATCAACGTATGCATGATCCCAAGTTCTGTGATACCTTTGAAGACTTTCTTTGTTTTGCAAACGTCAACATTGGGCATCCCAACTCTGCTCTTCTGCAACTTGCTTCAAAGCAATTGTTTCAGACAACATCATCTTTGGCGGCTTCCAAGTAATGGATATCTAAATGAAATAAATAGTCTAATTTTTCATATCCCACATCTCTTCATCTCAAACCCCTCTTCCGAACAAAAATGAGACTGTCATCTCAAACTCAAAATGTGCAACTCCATTCTCTCCTCAAGTGGTTATGACCTTTTATGTATGTTCAAGACCAATGCTGTATATTACTTTGTATTTACGTATAGCCCAATGAAAAGATAAAATAAAGCATTTGTGAAAAACTGGTGATTGTCTGAATCACTCACTCACAACAGACTCCACAATATTGATATACAAGAATGAGCTGCTTCCAAACAATCCAAAACTTGGAAATAGCAATCTTTATCTAAATCAACAACACAATTTCATTACAAGAGAAATACAATCTTGAGAGATGCTCAATTCTTGATGGACTACACAAATTCACAACAGCACAACATAATTTTAGGCTTTTAAAGGCATCCTGAACCACACAGCAAGCCCCGTACAAGTTTTGGAGTGAGGACATCTTCAGCAGTAAGATAGATAGCCTTGGATTATTGCTCAGGTGTCATGGCCTGCTCAAGAACATGAGTCCTACAAAATCTGGACTTGGTCAAATCAGAGGATTTTTCAATTGGGTTGTATTTTGGGCTATAGGCTGGTAAGTACATCAGTCAAACACCAAATTGGTTGCAAAGCTCCTGAATAGCATCTCCATGGTGGATTGTAGCGTTGTCCATGATTATGACACTGTTCTCTCCTGGCCACAGACTCGTCACAGGAAGCTATGTTGTAGATTTCAGCTGATTACATAGACACCTAATCACTCGAAATGTTTGGTGGACTTACCAGGTACTGAGTGAGGGAATCCTCAAAGTCCAGTCTATGGATTGAACCTTCAATTACCATTAAGGCTCAGCACCCACTCAGTGAGATTGCAGGAAGGATACTGAACTTTTGAGAGTTGATTGCTTGGGGCAGTCTCTTGGTACGTTGACCTCGTGGAGCTCTTGCATTTGGTCGATGCAAGCAACAGGCAGCAATAGAACTTTCATCTGGAATGAATCAAGGTCAGTAAGCTTGCTTGAGACTGATACTAATCAGCTTACCTAAGAAAACCAAGCACCGAGGATCAATTCCTCCAACATCATAGACAAATTCAGCACGAGCTTCTGGTGATTGATTTGGGTGTGCAGTCCGAGCCACCTTCAGAGTTAGTGCCAAGCAATCACGTATTTCAATGGCTAGGGCGCTGATTGAAATAAGAAATCCTTGCTCATATGCAAGGTTTTGTGCAATCTTGTCAAGGTACAGTGTTGGATCAGCATCAATCATATCACAAATGAATGTTCACTCTTCAGCTGCGAGGATACGTGGTGCACCACACGGCTGATAGAATCCTGGATTCGAAATGACGGCGCGGGTCTCATCATATAACTTGGACCATTGGATTAGGGAGTCTGGTGAAGGCTGGTAGGCGAGTCAATCACGGATCTCTTCCTTGGTGAACCTTGTTGAAATAGCATGACTGCAGAGAACTTTGTTTGTGGATTGTTTTCAACAAACCTCATTGCCTGACGCGTGCATTGGGGAAACAAAATCAACAATGAGATAAAGTCTTCAATATCAGAAGTGTAGGGAGCAATCAAATCAAGCAAGGTTGAGAGGATGATGAAGTCAAACTTACAGGTGAACTGTCAAATTCTCAAGGTACAATAGAGTTAGTGGGACGATTTGAGTGGAAGTTGGTTTTGATGATAATGAGAGCGAGATTGAAAGGTTGCTAAGAACTTCTAGTGAGGAAAGAAAAGCAAAATAGTGAGTTATTGTTGTATGGATTCCACAACAGCTTGTACTCATCCTGGGGGTCTGAAACGGAAGGATATCACAAGCGGATTATCACACACAGCAGGGTATCAGGCTGTTGGTCAAAAAGAAAGAAATTTGACTTGCCAAATCAAGAAAATAAGCTGATGAATAAAGGTTGGTCAATAAGAATCACTTATTGGTCCGAATCAAGAGTGAAGATTGAAAGGGTGAAGTCGATAACGTTTGAACCAGATCAATGGGATCTGTCACTCCAAATTGGTTGAGCGTGAAAATGGATGATGGATGTCAGGAGGGATTATCAAGAGAGACAATGGTGTGATTGCGAGTGAGTTGAACAGAGATTGATGATGGTACACTACAGTGGGGAAAGAGAGGGGGGAGAGATCAAATGTCATAGAGGAGTCCATAACTTTACATAGACAGAGGCTCTTTTGGCGGTTGGTTAGGTGTATACACTTCCGGCATTAAAGAGATTCCCCATTTTTTACTGCTAAATATCTTCATAAGTATTTCCTCAGTAGCCATTGTGATATATGTAGTCAATTTTTTGGGCGTAAAAGTTACAGAATGTATTACATGTGAATCTCTCAACCAGATGAGCAGGTAACTGAGCAGAGCTATATGTAGATGATAGCTAAGTATTCACTCAGATGTCTGCACATATGTAACATATGCTTTATTGCTCAGATGGCCACTGCGTAATGGTTTCATGACCTATTCTACTCTCAAAAGTGTTCCCAGCCTGGTGCTGATTCCCATCAAGGAACATCTGTAATGCTGGCAGTGATAGACCTAACCTGAACGATGTGAAGAAAAATAAAAAAGCAAGCTATTTGGGAATGGCTGTATTTTGTATTTTTTATTTTTTATTTTTTAATTTTTAATTTTAATTTTTAATTTTTAATTTTTAATTTTTTATCTTTTATTTTTTGTCTTTTATTTTTTATTTTTTATTTTTTATTTTTTATTTTTTATTTTTTATTTTTTATTTTTTATTTTTTATTTTTTATTTTTTATTTTTTATTTTTTATTTTTTATTTTTTATTTTTTATTTTTTTGTATTTTTATTCTTTTGCACTGTGAGAAGACGCGCCCAAGGGCGCCAATTTATCAAAAAACATGCCTAGGCGCACCTTTCTTTTCAAGGGCCGCACCCCCATCCTGAAACACAACCACAAGTCAACCATAATTGATTGAACACATAAATTTTGAATCCTAAAACGCACATTTTCTGCCCCATTTTTTAAGTCTATTCCAAAATCCTCCAACTGTTTTTTGTTTTATATGCAATGGGACAAAATGGACATCATCACACCAAAGACAGGCAACGAAAGGCTGAGTATGCACCTCCAAAGCCGAGTGTCAATGTAAGTATATTTTCTCTCTCTTGCATTATTGAAATCAACTGATGGTCAAAATTTGCAGCTGGACACTGAGCGCAAAAGATTGAAAAATGCAGCTTGTCAAAATCAAGATTTGATCAAGATACTGAACAATCCTAGTAAACCACACAGAAAGTTTTGCCTTGTTAGAGTGGAAGATAACCTCAACAATGTTCAAAACCGCAATGGTCCTTTAAAAAAGCCATTCAAACTGGAAGGTGCACCAGTGTGGATGCTTCTCAATAAAAGAAATTGAAAAGTAGTTTCTGTTGCCCAAAGTACTCCTTTCAGTTCCATGTCTCAACAAAAACTATTCAAGCTTAAATTTATTTCAACCTATTTACGTAATGAGCGCAAGTATGGCAATCCTGTCAAATCTAATTGTGCAATGTTGAAGGGCTTCATGGGAGCTGTTGGTCATTGCAAAGCTTACAATACAAGGAAAATTGGTGGTCAGTCTCTATCATTCTTTATGTACAAATCTTAATCTTCTCTTGTCATTCTTAATCCTTTTTGATTTATCTTAATATTTTTGAACCTTTTGATTTTATAGGTGGTAGTCATCCTTGTAAGAAGGTCCAATCCAGCCACAAGTTGCTCAACCACTGGTGGAGATGATGTGTATGTTGATGCCCTAAAGTCAAACAGATTCATTCACCATATTTTAAATCACTTTCATAATCTTTATTTGAAAAAACTCAAGAACATGTGAAAGAACTTAAGATACCTAGCTTTTAACAAATGTCTCATTTAGAACATGAACAGCAAAAGAAATCCATTGTACTAGGGAATGCTTCAAACCCTCTGGAGAATCTACTTGACTCAGTACTTCAGTACAAATTAATATCAAGTATGAGAGGATGGCTTGTACTCTGGGCAGCTGTATACAAAGCTACAAAAATCAAGCACCACTTCCATTGGAATTGAAGCAATACAAGTCATTGGACATCCCTTGTCCCAAATACTTTGGTAGTGCTTTATTTACGTATCAGATGTATCTTAGACAAATTAAAGCCCAAGAAACACTTGACAGATCAAAGAAGAAATGCTGTAAATGATTTTTCATATGTTTCATCTTTTCAAAATATGATCTAAATCACAAAATGTGACAATTTGCTTGCATGAGTGGATTATTTTTCCAAATTTGTGGTCCACCTCCTTTGACTGTTTTGGTCATTGTCCATTACCTTTGATGTTGCTTTTCCTCACCTTTTTAGTTGCATTGCTTTTCTCCTCCTTACACTTTGTTTGTTTCTCAGTCTTGAGTTACTTTTAATGAGCTCCTTGGCTCCTTATTTGTTGTTCATCTGTCCTTGCCAGGTTTTCATTTACTGAGCTTTTGCTTTGATCAGGCTCTTGTATATTCCTTTGATCTGCCTTGTGTAAAAGCTTCTCAACGTTGTATTTGATTTATTTTTAATGTTTGCGCATTGTCAGTTTGTCATCCTCAAATTTGATTTTCAAGGAGGGCTTCATTTATTGTTTGTCTGTCGGTGCCAGGCTTGCATATATTAAGCTATTGCTTTTATCAGGCTGTTGTAAAAGGTTGTAAAAGTTGCTTTTGTTTCATTTTTAGGATTGCAGTATTTGCACCTCCTCCCCCTTATCAGGCCTTAAGTTACACATAAAAACCTGTATGTACATATGTACCAATTTATTTTTTATTTGCCTGGGCCTGGTCAGTTGCACACCATCACATTCTCGTCCCTTGCATTCAATTTCAAGAGCAATCCCAACATTGAAGCCCTTTATGAGTTTGTCATTTTGTTTGTCACATGTCAAAAGACTATGTCCATTACTTTAACTGTATTTTTGGAATGATTGATAAAATTGATTGTATTAGCTTTTGCATCAGTAGACTTTCTCTCTCTCAGTTTTGGAAGTGATCTATAAAGAGCCCTTCACCGGCTCGCTATTGCTTTGTAACAGATCACAAACATAATTGGGGTCACATACACAATGTGGCCACACACATAATTGGCTTTTGTGCTGAAAGCAAATATTGATGATCTACATATTAAGCTGAGCTGAAGTTGAACTCCCTGTATTGTTGGGATGGACTGGACAGGTTTGTTTGTTATGACCAGTTTGATGACATAAACTACATGGTGGTTCAGTCTCACCAGCATCTTGATCTTCAAAAGCACTTCTATCTCGCTTAGTTGTGTTCAAAGCACCTTGTGGTTGACCACAGGAGCAAATTGGGATTGGATTGCTGACAGATGGAGTTGGATCTGTCAAAATCTGCAAGAGTTGATTTTTTAGGAGAGCTTGTCAACGGGGTGGTAAAGTTGCGTATAGAGTCTGAATGCTATTGAGCATTGTATTGATCTCAATGCACTGGGGTGGTTCAACATCAGGTATAATGTGGTCAAGTTTCCAATGAATATTGAAATGTTGAACCTGAAGCTTGTTGCTGGATTGAACACGCTCCTTTATAAAGTGCACGCAGGGTAAACCCTGTGATCCCAAAAGTGCATATGTGCAGATCGAATTGTTCTTTGATAAAGGACTTTTCTGACCTGCTGATACACCTGAGAAAAGAGAAAGATTAATTACACAACCTCAGGGGGGACAATAGTCATAGAAGAGCAAGTGAGAACGGACCTCAGTGTGAAGTGCAAGATCTTCCTATTTACCTCACCCCAGATGTTGCTTTTAAACCAATTCACGAGATGAGTGCGGTCGTATTTCATCCACTGTGGAAATCAAATTAAACAAGAATGATGTTTATATATACAAGCAACAATTCCATGTGCCAATCTTAAGCCACCTGTTTTGATGACTTAATGCTTTCAACCAATCAACTCAAAATCTCATTGATAATTAATAACATTATTATCATTCTTGAATTCACTTCAATGCATTACATCATCACAGAATTTCTAAATTTGACATGAAGGCAAAGATTATATATCTTTTTGAAGAAACATCACACATAGACAACATATCAAATACCAGTTTTATCCTCTCACTATGGCACATTGAGTCTTAATCAGATTATCATTACTATTCATTTCATTCTATGATGGTTTCTATCATTTCATTACAAATTATATGAAGAGTTTGAAGAACTGTCTATCAAACACAGACAACATGATCACTGAAAGAAAAAAAAACAGATAAGGCAACACATCAAACAAAATGCATACCCAAGAAAAATCCACTGTTTCCCTCATTACTCCCTGTCTCACCAGTTTACAATAGCGTAAAGCTACCATCCAACCAAAGTCTTCTTGGATTTTCTTCACCACAACTATGTGGCCTTCAAATTGGTCGGTGATTGGTTTCCACCCACAAGCAACCAAGTGAGTACAGAACAGTTCTATGCAGGCTCCCCATACTTCATAATCAATGATTAGCTCTTCAACTGGTGTGTCTCCTCCGTAAATTTTTGCTTCACCTGATTTTTCCTTATCTGATTTAGTGGATCCAGCCAACCACACCTTTTGATCAGCCACTTGCCATTCCTCATTGAAAACCGTAAGCTGGACATAAGAGGTCAGTCCTTTCAAAATGATAGTCAACCCCAGCGATAAAAGTCCCAAGGATTCCTTCATCTGTGCATCCCCTCCTTTTAGAATTTTCCCATTGTGTATCACATTGCTGTTTTCCATTTCTAAGGTACCTTTCTTAGCTGACATGGTTGCAAAAGCTTTATCGGACTCTTCTTTTGCCTTTGCGCCTTTTAACCACAGTGTCCATCATTGTAGGATTAGTAAGAGGATGGCTGTCTTGATGAGTTTCAACAGCTCCGTGGGTTTTGTGAGTGTTGACTCCAGCATTCTCCAGTTGAAGGATGCTTGTTTCTGGTCTAACCTCCTTAACAAATGCCACCAATGGAGTTTCTGATGTGTCTGTGAGTGTGTTGTCTTCATCTATCACTTATCTATTTTCCCTCATGAGAATTGTCTTGACTTGTCCTTATTTAGGGTTTTTAATAACAAGGCGGCTTCCTTGTCATCACCACAACTGTGAGCTTCCTAGATTAGGGCTTCAATTGCTGTTCTCCGTAAATCATCTGCTCAGAATTCCAATTGACACATGTTTCCATTTATGTCAGTTCTTGTTTTCAAATGTCTTGGTGTATTCTTCTGTGTGTTTGTGAAGAAACAATTCCTTGTGTTAAACCTATGGGCTGCCAATACAAGGTGGTATGAAATGCTGGACTGGGATCTATGGTCCCTATTGTAAGCTGGAGACAGGCTGGTCTCCTATCATGAGCCGGGCCACACTTGACTCCTACTGTAAGCTGGGCCAGACTGGGCACTTATCATTAGCCAGGTAGGCTTTCTTGGTCTCAGTTCTTCCTTGCTATCCTAGTTCCTGTCTCCAACTTCTCAAAAAAATAATCAAAACATATGGTCATTTTTATTTCTTTGTAACACCAGCTGTCCCAATATATGCTGGGAGGCTTAGTGTTACCACCTTTCATATTGGAGAAGTTTAAAACTTTTTTTGTTATAATAAAACATAAAAGAAGTACTATGAAGAGTTTTGGGACAGAAAGGACTTTGTGTAGACGATTGATACAAAAATATAGAGATTTTGAGGTAGAAGATGGATTGAAAACAGATGTGCATGATTTAAACCGGATATTGGATTGAAGACGGAAGCTGGAAAGACTAAAGACTTGAATTAATAAAATTGAACTGTTTGTCTCACCTAGTTTGTCATTTTAATCCTCTCTATCCTCCTCCTCAGACTCTTCCACTTCTTCAAATCCTCCCCACTCTCCTCAGTCCTCTTCTTTAGCTGGTAGATCTTCTCACGGGCCTTTTTCTTTGTTCTTCTGACGTCCTTCTCTTTCCGTGATTTCCTTAGATTTCCTCAAGAAAAGATATGTTGAGCAACTGAGCTTAATGCAGAAATAAAAATTCACTTACCAACTTGTAGAAAGTGATAGTAGGCCAAACACGGAAATTCATGTTGAATGTAAGAACCACCAGGCCTCATAATAAATAGAACATCAACCATGTATATATAGATTCAGAACACTCTGTTACACATGTTGAAAATGAGATCAAAGTCAGTGGAGTAAACAATAATAAGAATGATCAAAGAAAGCCCATGCATCTTGTTCACTTTGTAGCAGAAAATGAATGCTTAAGATCATTGCTAGGAAAAACTCAAAAAAGATACGTGCAAGTCTACTTGAAAGTGCGGTTATAATTTTTGCATCATTTACAACTTCCCCATCTTCCTGATTCAAATCAATTTTCAATCCCCAATCCTTTTTCCAATCAACCATCTGAATAGCTTCTGAAATCCATTCCATTGCATTGTCTAGTAAGGATCTTGCTATATTTGTAATTATGTTATATGATTCCACAACTTCTGAGCTCAATGAGTTGGTGGAAATGTCACCATCGGTGATGTTGTTTGGCATTGATAGAATGGAAGTTAAATGAGGATGAAGTCAATTGAGAATGGATTTGATTGAGATTGATTTGATTGAGGATGAAGTGGACAACTTTTACTGTCTCGTGACAACTAAAGATCACAAATTTCATCTCAAGATGTTGAGCCTTGGATTTCAACTTCATTCTCACCTCTCTATCAAACTTCAATTCAATCTTTCATCATGGGATGCGGTCCATCAAAGTATCCTGCCAAAAATGATGCTAATCAACAAAGCGCAGCAATTGATGCACAAAACAAGGAGGATTGTAATAATGCCAGGTGTGAAGGATAAATACTCTCTCTTATGAAAAATGAAAAACAAAATTCACGAGGTTAAAGACACACATCAAATGTCAAGTTTTATTCATCTTGTTTCTTTTGTATTGCCTTTTATAGAAAATAAATCAAGATCCTATTACTTGGCGCGGGTGAATCTTGAAAGTCAATGCTTGTCAATTGCCTCAGTGTTAAGAGCCTCTGCCCTGTTTGAACTCCTGTAGCACTTGCTTCTGCTTGCGTCAAAACTTGTTTATTTAAATTAGCTTCTGTTTGATTTAACTGATTTTGAAACAACATCTTTTTTCTCAATTTCTTGATTTATTTCTTTGTGTTATCATTTTTAACTTGTACTTCAACTTTTGGATCTTTGTATAATCTTCGATTAACATATTCAAAAACCTTCTATAACCAATGAGCCTAAGAAACAAGAGGCAAGATAACTAAAGGTGTGTTCTTTTCAACTGCTGCTAATGAGGGATGAAATTGAAGTGGGGAAGAGAAAAAACTTTCTATATTCCTTTCCTGCCAAGTTACACAGGGCGCTGTAGAACTCCTACGTTGTGTGGTGTAGGCTGAGCCAGGGAGATGATGAAACTCGAGCGCAGTGAAGCTGCCCTCAACCTTGTAAATGAAGTCCAAAAATAAAAATAAACAATGAAGCAAATCTCTAACAACTTTCTACTTTCACAAATACAACCCATAATACTTTTGTAATAATTCTAAAAGAACCGCAAGATCTGGCGGATTCCAACTGTACCCCACACTACACTACACAAGGTGTTGATGCAAAGCTATGTGGATTTTGAGTTTAATGTAATGCTTGCTACATGTAATAAAATAAAATAAAATAAAATTGATATTTGGAAAGCCCTGATTAAGAAAACCCGGCCCTGAGCTTAAATCCGACGGACTGACAACCAATCTACAACCCAGCTCAGCAAAGCACAATAAAGCAAAAACAATATCAACCACAAAACCCCACCAATCTTCAAGACACTGATCACTATGAACAATAATCTAAATAACAGTAAAGTAATGTTTTTCTTCTCTATCTTCCTCTTCCTTTCTTTCAATAAAAAAAAAGATAAAAAAAACCCCAGCAAGATTGCTTTTAATCGGACACAATAAGACTTTTTTTAAAAAACTAATGATTTCTTCTCTTTCTTTTTCTAACTCTTTCAATAGGACACTTTTAGAAAAAAAAAACCCATATGATGACAACACTATAATCATCAAGGACACACGCGACCCAAAATACTCAGATACAATCACTAGAACACCTTCCAACAGAAACTTCAAAGACTCAAGACACTTTTAAAAGACACTCTTAGATTGACGCTTAGACACGAACACACACAAAAAAACGATGATCCACTGATGGATAAAAAAAATGAAAACAATATGATTCTACACACAGACACTCCTCCACAAACAGAAAAACAGATCCCTCCTCCAGATGAAAACTCCTTGATACCTCTTTTCCTTCTCTCTCAACTTTGACTCCATCTCTGATCGGACTTCTCTCGTTCTTGGCTTGTTTAATCAATTTAAATTTAAATTTTGATCCTTTTATGTAAGTAATTGCTTTGTTTTCTTTTGTTTATTCTTTTATTTGGTCTTCTTTCTTTCTGCTTGCCTCCACTTCTCAATTCCCTTCTCCACTATCTCAATCTAGATTTTACTATTTAGATTTCGATTTTTTATCTTGATGTTAGTATGTAGTTTATTTTTCTCATCTATCTTCTCCACTCTCCCATTTTACTAACTCTCTGTCTTGTCTTGTCATCATCCTTCTTGATAGAACTTGGCTTCATCAATCTTGATTTTGACTGTTCATCCAATGAGTAGATTCATTTCATTTTCATTTTTGATTTTTGGGGTCTTTATGTAAGTAAGTTTTCTCTTTTTTTTGTCTTTATTTGTTCTTCTACTGATTTATCTTCCTTGTTTCAACTTTGATTCCTTTTAATTTCACTTCTAGGTACCTTCCTTTAAATCACTTTTTTGGCATTTTGATCTTGACTTCTTTCTCAGGTGAGTTCTTCACTTCTTTCAATATTTATCTTGAACTTTCTTATTCAACTACTCCTTCTTTTGCTAATTGAATTTGATCTTCCCTTAATTTCTGGTTGCATTCGCCTCCTTTTCTTTTAGGCTTCCTTTGATTATGTACTTTTAGATTTAATTTAACATCCTTCAATCAATTTGATTTTCAATCTTGACCTGTTCCTCTTTGTTCATGGTAGGTTTGTACTCTAAAATTGAAGCTCTTGTTGAACTATTTATTTCCTTCTGGACCCTTGATTTACAATGCCAAGTAAGTCATCTTGATTTCCATGTATCTACTATCAGATCTGAACTTTGGGCTCTAATTCTGATCTTGCAAACTACTGACACCTCTTTTCTATTTATTTATGTCCTTTCTCAGTCTGCATCTTTTAGATCAATTCTATGGCTCTCTAAATGTGATACAACACTCAACCATTCTTGTTGGAATTCAACTACATTAAATTTTCAGCCTTTTCCTCTTAGTTTATTTTATCTTAATTTTAATGATGTAATGCAATTTTAATGATGAAATATGAATAATTTGTACTAAAAAAGTTGTATCTCAACAATATTGCTCAGTGTGTATTGAGTTGGAGCGAGTCTCTGATTGTGAGGACCATTTAATGATGAATAAATAGCTGAGGAAAACTTAAGTCCAACACCCAAGCAAAATTGAATATAAAAAGACCATGTATGGATGGATTTGATCACCACAGTGTGTACATGTCTCTCATTAGTTCACATGTCATGGACATCAGCACCAAAACGTGCAAAATGTGCCTTGTTTGGTGCTCTACATGAATGTAGTGGCAAAGAGACCAGGAAATGGATTTGCTTCAACGCTCCTGGTCAACAATGACAAGAATCAGATCAATCCTACTTATGAGTTCTACCATACAAAAGTCATCTTCAGAGTCAATGAACATAGGGTCATTAAGCGGTGGGATTTCTGGACAAGATACCCAGGCCAGCTCATTTTTGAAAACAACACAGTTTTGAGGGTAGTTTCTCAAAAGATCCATGAAGGCCAAGGTTTCACTGTGGATCTCTTCAATTATTGCCAAACAGCTCAGGCTTTGCTACTGGCCACTTGGCTGGTGTCAAAATTCAAGGAAGAGATGGAATACTTGGATTTGACGAGTACACAGTGCAACTTGCTGCCTGGTTTGCAAGTTTGTCCTTCTCACTGCAACACATATAAAAGAATATGCAACAATCCAACTAACAGTGTGTTTCAATGTAGTCCACAGGTTCTGTCACACTGTGTAGTGTATGAAAATAATCCAAATGAACCTTCTGACCTTGCGTACAATATTTTCATGATTGAAGAGCATTTGGAGGGTACCAGCATCAACCATTGAGACCATCTTGACTTTTAGACCATGAAGAATGAGACTTTTAAGAATGAATATGATGTGATGTGGGCTCCTTCTCACTTGACATATGGGCATTTCAATGGATTGATGTTCCTTGCTGGAATTCATGCCAATGGAATGGTTATCACAGATACCAGCTTCATGGAAAGGTGTGTGGATATTGTCTTGACAACTCAAGTATATGTACTGATGCAATTGCACAGGGGCAAAAATGGATGCTCACATAGGGGTGAGCATAGATATTCTTGTGTTTTTCCAACAATGGGTCAAATTTATTACCAGATTCTTCCTGTTTTCACTCCTATCTCTTCCTGCTTGTCAGCTGATTACATGATCAACTGAAACTGAACCTTCTTCAGGCTTTTTGCTAAGGGCCAAAGCCTGAGGAGGGGCCAATCCATCTGCTCAGCTAATGCTGAACAGCATGCCCCTGTTGGGTAGACTCCAAGGGGGGCCAATGAGGATTTGCTTAGAGGTTAAGATGAACTAGATTCATCAGCAAATCCTGTGCAGCATCCTTGGGACAGATCAAGGAGGGTCATCCCTGCCTCAGGCTTCTTGGCTCAGGAATAAAGCCCAAGGTCTATCTGCTCAGCTAATCCTGAGTAGCATCCTGAGGATAAGAGGGATTCAGAGGATGACACTGATGTTTAACTGAGCGGTGCTCAGTTCATCTCAGTTGCTCAGCTAATCCTGAGTGGAATCCTGGGGATCATTCTGATCCAGAGGATGTCACTCAGAATCAGCCAAGCAGATGAGCCATACCTGCCTCGAGTATCTTTGCTGACAAATGAAGCCTGGGGAAGACCTAGTTTATTTGCTAAGACCCTGCCAATTGTGTGAACAGCCTGATCCAGGGGACACCACTTAGGTTTAGCTGAGTGGCTGAGATAAACTGAGCAGATCTCTTTTGTCAGGCTTCAGTCCTTAGCAGGAAAGTCTGAGGAGAGGCTGTTCTATATGTGATGCGACCAATGGACACTACTGAGTATTAGCTGAGCAGCTGAGATGGAACAACCCCTGTGCAGGCTTCTTACCAATGTTCCTCTTGGTGTGCTGACCTGTCAAGTTTGCCAAGGGACCTCTCTTTCATTAGCGGGGTTCAAGTCAGAAATTCTGAGCAGGAATTATACAACTTCCAAGTAAATTCTTGAAGCACAAGGTGAGCTAAAGAATCACAAGGATTCATAAAAAGTGCTTCAATATACGCCACTGTCTCTTATAAGAAAGAAAAGAACAAGCTTGAAAAATTGCATCATATCTGCTGTTGTGGATTTAATGAAAGAGAAAGACAAAAAAGGAAACTGTCAAGAAACGCAAAAGAAAATTATACACCTTTTCTTGACACAAAAAGGCTTTTTTTTTCCTCAAACCAAAAAAAAATCAACCTTCTTATAAATTATAGGCATTTTCCTATATTTTCAAACCTCACAGGTACCTCTAGAGGTGCTCGCAAGCTGGAAAATATGGTCTAGAAATTGTGACCTCCAAGCAATGCCTAAAATTCATTTTGGGTCTGATTTCTTTTGACTTGAACCCTGCTATTGTCACTTGATCCTTTTACATCAATTGGTCATATCTTGTATTTTTCATTATCAATTTACGTGCACAATTGTTGTTTGATTAGAGCCAAGTATCAGTGTAATACTTCTATTCTTTTCATTGTACACATATTTTGATTGTTTTACATGTGGTGGAAGTGATTCATATTTTTCTTCTTATTTTTCATTGTCATGAAGGATATCATTAGTGTCAAAAGTAGATGTTTCCTCCATACTCAAAAGCCACATTTAAGGAGAATTTTTTCTTTCTGTTTTTTCTGAACTTTACAAAAGTACAACATCTTTCAGTATTATTATTTTGGTCTACTTTTAGTTGTGACGAGGTCTTGGGCGGCTGCGCTGCCCCTCGGTCATTCTGCTTCAGTTGGGTTTTTGCAACTTGTGTGAGTTGACCTGTCTAAGTCCTTTTCCCTACTACTCTGACCACTATGAACCCTTTGGACCACAAATGCACAATACCTGGAGTTTCCCTAGACTTTATATTGTGAGTGCAATAGTTTTGGAACTTGCCACACATTCTGAGTACTCAGAGCACCCGCAATCGTTGGCGTTAAAATTGGAGTTATTTAAAAAAATTAAAGATTCTTTAGCTGGGGTTAACAAATTTAACCACAAGTCCCACAGTCGTTGGCACTAAAGTTGTATTATTTAAAATTAACCCACACTAAAAGCCTGGGTCCACAGTGGGTTGGCTCTAGACTGGAGTCAAACCAAACTTTTCTTTTTATTGTGTCGCACCCAAATTCCACATTATTGCAACTCTTTTTATTAGCAACATGGATGATATAACTCAACAGCACTTGGATCTCCTTCAACAAGAAGAAGATGAAGATTATGATGAGATGCATATGTTCTTCTTTGTTCAACCAGAAGAAATGAACAGACTCAACAAACGGACAGTCATTGAACGTTACTGGATTGCTGCTGATCAGTGTCTACATCGTGACTATTTCAAAGAATCACCGCTATATCCTTGTGCTTACTTTGAGAGGAGGTTTCGAATGAGTCCTGAGCTCCTTCGCAAGATGGCTGCTGATCTACAGGAGCACAATGTTTATTGGATACAACATCGCGTGAGCATTCAACTTCCATGTTCATGGTTTGATCATGTTGATCCAAGTTTATTTCTGTTGATTTACTTACATAGGGTTGTTGCAAGAAACTCGGTCTTTCAACATACCAAAAGATGACGGCTGCAGTACGACAGCTAGCCTATGGAATTTCCAGTGATGCAGTCAACAAGTACAAAGAATACCCAAGACCCCCAAATCCCGACAAACTTGAGATAATACTAAAGGAGAATGAAATGCGGGGTTTTCCAGGCTGCAAAGGGAGCATTGATGGTATGCACTGGCTGTGGAACAACTGTCCTCAAGTGTGGGCGGGTCAGTTTGATGGAAAAGACAAAGATACATCAGTGGTTCTTGAGGCAGTTGCCTCAAAGATCCTGTGTATCTGGCATGCTTTCTTTGGTACGCCAGGTGCTCTCAATGACATTAATGTCTTACAAAACAGCCCACTTTTTGATGCTTTCATCAACGGTCAGTTTCTCTTTGACACCATTCAAGAGAGAAACTCGGTTGATTTTTGATTTTGGTCTTTTGTTTGTATTGAAACTCACAGGTTCTGAAGACCAAATTCATTTCAAGTTCAATGGACATCAATCCACTTGAGGATATTACCTCGCTGACGGGATTTACCCTCTATGGCCTGTCCTCATCAAGTCAATTCATAGGCCAGGTGATGAAGCAAGTAGTTATTTTTTGATGTTGCAGGAAGCTCTTTGAAAAGATATTGAGTGTGCATTTGGTGTTCTTCAAGCACGCTGGCATACACTCACATCACCATGTCGCCTTTTGAGTATAATGGACATGACAAACATAATCTTATGTTGTACCATAATCCACAACATGGTTGTTGAAGACCACAGCAAAAAGGATCAGGCTATCATAGACTATCAATCACAACACAATCCTGAGATACATGCAAATCGCCTCAATCCTCATCTCAAATACACTCTTGCTCAATACTTCAAAGTGAATGCTGAGCTAAGAAACCGAGATCAACACTTACAATTAATGCAAGATCTCAAAATCTCGATGTGGATGAAAAGAGGCACTGGGGGGAATTAGTTGTTGAAAGATAAGTTTCAAAATATTCATTTCAATCATCTTCCATTACATCTTCTAAGGTGTTCTCAATGTGTATATAAAATAGAAACTGAGTCTGAACAAGTTTGAGGAAAAGATTCAACAAGATAAAATATTGTGTCATAATCACTACCATTTCTCTTTTTGAATCATTGTAATTGATGAAATCTAAGTTGAAGCTGAGCATACAAGCTATTGTGATTGGTGAAATTGAGCCTACTAATCAACAAGATAACATATGATTTCTTGATCACTATCACTGCTTTTTTAAGCTAACAAGATTGAGGGAATAAAAATGAAAAATGAAAATCAATTCTGCACAAGTTTGAGACAACAAACCAACACAATAAAGATAATTAATTGATTTCATCATCTACTTCTTCCTTCCTGTACTTCTTCATTAATTTTGCTTTCATTAATCTGAGGATTTCTCTTGATTCATCATCTGGACATGATTCAGGTGAATTCAATAGTGTGTTCAGGTTTTTAGCTTCTTCCTGAATTTCCAGAGCACGTTCAGCAAGTTTGTGTCCTTTCTCCATTACAATGGCTTTTTGCTCCTGAATTTTGGTGGCACGTTTGAGCGCTTAGTTACGTTCAGACTCAATATTGTGATTGGCGTGTTGATGTTTTGATTTCTTCTGACCAACCGGCCGTTCAAGCAAATTGATAGATTCCGCAGGGGCAGTTGATTCAGCAGTTTGAGGTGAGCTAACTCCTGAGACACTAGCAGTAGTTGAAGCTCTTCTGATTGGAATGGCAGCTTTTGTCCATTTGGGAGCATATCAAAGGATTTGCCACAAAGCCTTGTGCTTGAAATTATTGTTTGTTTGATTTGAAAACTCCTTCTTGGCAATATTCATGTAATCGGAAGGAGCAGTTCAACTTGGTGGGTTACGTTGAATTGACCCATAGGTTGCTGAGAACTTCAGAGTTGATGTGTTGATTGGTTTCCAGCTATGATCAAATGTGAATGTCAAGAATGTAAAAAATCGATGATTGGTTCATTTTGACTATGAAGACAAAAATTAACAATAAAAATAAAACGTGAAAGGTATGTACTGGTTCCTTAGTTGTTCTCCTGTACAAACCGGCTTTACATTGGGTAATGCCAAAGCAAAGTCATTGGCCACTTTGATGTAGAAGTCAGTCCCGGATTGCTGGTTTGCGTATTGTGGATCTTTGCTTATAGAAATCCACGACATTGCTAGCTGTTCATCTTCAGGCACTGTCCACTTTTTCCCATGTTGCCTTGCAGCAGTTCTTTCACTTG